GTACATACGTCCATGGCAGGATTTACCAGTCTAATAACTTATTATTAGGCTATCCCGCCGCGGTGGCACAGCTCACCCCTTCTACGTGTCCCTGCGTCGCCAGGTCCAGCAGACGACAGACGCCTCAATTCGCTGACGCCCAACAATTTCGTCATGGTGTCTAGTCGTCTGCCACATCAGCGGCCCCTATTGGCAGTGGCGCAGGCCGGTAGAGCTTTTCATCCGCAACTGTGCGCCCGGCCCAGTTTCTCTTTCGGTTGATGGATGGGTTGATGAGACTAGCTGGCGGAAGCCACCGGGCCGGACCCGACTAGCTGGTTCAATCTCCACAACAAACAATCTCGAGGGGGGATGACATCGAGAAAAAGCAATGAAGGTCCAAGAAACGGAGGGAGTGGCGCTCTGGAGGATTGTGTAACGGAGCAACGGGGTGCTGGTAAGTACCAGTCGACTCGATGCTGGAGTTCAGCTTAGCCGATGGCCATTTGCAAAACGTTGTTCAAGACGTTGCGCCAAAGGCGGGAAAGGGGGCCGAATGGCGCCAGGCTAAAGCAAGTGAGGCTCTCCAGCCCAGCTGTGGGCTGAAAAGGAAATACCTCCACGACTTTACTATAACTACTTCAGCTCGCCAGCGAAGACGTTTCAGAAAGAGTGCTTTATTGAATCGGGATCACACCTTTCGTTCTGCCTTTGCAAAGGCGCCTCGCCCAGATTGTTGGGCATGCCATCCCATCTGTACCAGCAGCGCGGGCCCGCCACTTTCCGTTGCCTTCTGAGATGCCATTGGGCAGCAACGAAACGCCACTGCTGTCAACCATCTCTGTACTCCGTTCACGTTGGGCTGTCAATCTAATTCGTACGTCCACATATACCCTCCTTTTCCACACCGATGTTTTTGGTCATCTTTTCATTAACCGAATAGCTTAGCTCTGCCGACACTGCCAAGGTAGTTTTGTCTCACTCATCCATGAGCCCGGTGACTCCGTGGGCTGTAATTATACTTTGACACAGCTTGCTTTCTTGTTTTTGCTCTTTACCCCTTGTCAAGTTGATTGCTCTGCTCACTCAATGTACATGGCGTACCTGACCTGCCCGTGGTTGGCACTGTCCGGGGGAGTATCATCTGCAAATCGCGGCGATGCTCAGCATGGTGTGGTGGATCTGTGGCGTCTGATGCATGGGTTGTTGTCAGTGGGAAAGGGGCGCGCTACAGAGAGGTTGCGAATAGCACCACTTTGCCCATTCAAATATGTTCGATACTCGCTCACTCGTTGCCCGGATTTCCGCCCAACCTACCTAACTACTGCGAGACGCCTCACTGGCTCGTTTCCGTCTGCCAGGATGTCCTGGTTAGAACCCGGTGGCTGAGAGCAAAGCAAGCACTGGTGTCTGCAAAAGAAATCATAATACCCGTGCCGGATCCCGCTCCGCGACATGACTTTGCCTGGGCTGACCGCCACCAGGAGCAGCATGAAAAGGCGTTGGTACCAGTACCGAGTTGCATGGTGTCTTTGGATGCCGACGCCCCTCGCAGGCGTGCCACGCTTTGCCACGCCCCCAGCACCGTCACTCTGGTACACCACGGACCGGGTCACTGGGCGAACATGTGTTCCAAATCAAGTGGGTGAAGTGAGCACAGGGTCTTTATCCCGTGATGAGCACGAGATTTGGTTGGTGCCTGTGTGCGTGTTCATCGACAGTCGGGCCGCCACCGTCTTCTGGGAAAGCCACTTGTTGGCCCCATATACTCAGCCGCGTGCGTTGGCACTCTAGTTATACTCTAAGCGGGTTGGGCGAGTGGTGCAGATTCTAGGCCAATGCCGCCGATGCATCGCTCTGCCTTGGGCTGGGCTGGGCTGGGCTAGGCTGGGCAAAAGTCTGCGGTCAGTATTGCGTTGCAACATCTTGACCGCTAGTTCTGGTTGGCGATTATCGTCTTTGGGTTGCTCGCATTGTGAAGGGTGCAGTACGCCTACCGCTTGAAGCGCCATCAATGTGAGGGCGGGTTGCCAAGTTAGCTCGCATATGCCGTATGCAACCCCCTATGCATCATTGGGGACAGACCAGAGGCTCGGTGCCTGTTGCTGCAAAACATTCGGTCAGTGATTTAGCGGCCCAATCATACTAGGCAGTAGCTTGCGCAGCTGCAGCGGTTCATGCACATCGAAACGGGAAAGCAATGTGTGAGATGCCTTGGCCAAGCTGAGTTGTGCTGTGCTGTGTTGTGCTATGTTGTGTAAGTACAATCTCTGGACCTCTGACGCCGTTCTCTCCCCCCCCCCCTTCCCCACCCCACGCCACACGACAGAGCATGGGAGGCCTATTCCAGAACCAGATGGATACTGGCAATAGCACCCTGAATTAATTTGCCGATCCCGAGCCTTGGGTGAGGTGAGCAAGTGAGGCTTGGAACTATCTACTTGCGAGGTATGTATTCCGCGGGTCGGTTCTACAGGTAACATTTCGCAACAACCCCGCAGCCTTGCCAGGCGGAGCCTCGGTGTAGCCTTTCCGCCTTTTTAATCGGACGTCTCTCGTGTCGACGGCCTCTGAAGAAATGGACGTCTATTGACGCCGGGGTGCACGAGAAGCCGTCTCCATTTCGCTTTGTCTGCCAAAGGGAAAAGAGACGACTGCACCTTTCCGCCGCCGCCTGACCCGTGGACGGCTGCCCGCCGGTCTTGGCCAATTCCTTACTGTTTCGGGCATCTCTCCTTCTTTTTCTCATCCCCGTAGAATGTCGTCTTGAGCAACGGGTATGTCATCTAGGAAGATTTACTGCCATCTGTTGTTGCACGATAGTGGGGGGCAAATTGCACTACGGTCGGTTTCTCTTTCTTTGTTGGTGACGTAGTGCAATGCCGGGCAGGAGGGAAAAAGCTCCCGCTGCCGAAATTGGAGTCGATTGGGGCATCCTCCATGGTTTGATTGTGAGTACATAGGTATGTGCGGCATGTAGACAACAGTCTGCCTACCTGCAGGCCGTGCAGCATCGTTCTTCTGTGGAACGCCTTTCCCTTTGTTTTTTTGTTTTTTATTTCTTGGCCTTGCCGTGCCTTGCCTTGCCTTGCCTTGCCTTGCTTGTAAGTAGGAGGGGCGCGCAAGAGGGGAAATCTGCTAGTCATCTAGAGGGGGATGTCTCTTTTCTCCGCATCTCTTATCAGAAGGAGGTCGACGCACGGCGGCGGCGTGTAAGCGGAGCATATTTGCGATCAAGGATATTCCATGTCCTTTTTTCATGTAGGGCCTGTGTCATGAGATCAAGGAGGGGAAGAGCGGGGGACTGGACTCCCACCGCCTCATTTTAACAGTGTCACGCCTGCGTATTTGTCAGTGCGAAATCTCACCGGCACCGGCAGGCGGCGGTCTTTGACCGAACCGAGATCGTGCAGTTTAGCCACAAAACTGCAGAGAAGACCCGAGTCGGGGCGCGCACGCGCGGACCGCATCCAATGTGCATATTGTCATGAATCTGGGTTGTAGCGGTGGGCTTTATGAATGTCATGGCGTCTATTTTCAGCAGGATTTATACAAACTGTTTGACTTGGATGTGTCAAGTTGAATATCGAGATTGCCCCTCGGTGTCGTTCACAGGTCATTCCTTAAGCCACCACTCAACTGCATAACAATTAGTAATGCATGTATTGTTTTTCTTCATTAAATTATTCTTTAATCACACACCATAAAACTCGCCTCAAATATGCCCTCCCCCCCCTCTCCATGAGTGATCGAAACGAAACCTGGTCGAATTTTTCAGTTGGTCCATCATGCTCCTACCCTAGAGCGCATTGCTTCGCCACAAAGTGGCTAGAGAGTCGTGACCTGCCCTGGCGCATTGTGTGGCTCACAGCTTCCCCTCCCCCACCTCGAAACACCAAAGCGCCGAAGCCCGATGAACCAACCTCTCGTCCCCCCTCTTGCATGATTCCAACGCCCCTCTTCCCATTTCGCTTCCAAACCAGGCGTATCCAGATTGCAAGACGCCTACTGCAACAAGAAGAGACCGCCACCCTTTAAACCGCCAGCCGAGCGAACTCGCGTCCCTGTTTGTGTCAGAGCCGGCAACGACCAGAGCCCTGCGTCACGAAACTGCCAAAGCTCGAACCAGGGGAACCACTACGGGTCAAAACTTTGCCCGATATTTTTTTCCTTTTCGCAAACCAGCTCCCCGGGACCAAGAATTTCTTTTTCCTGACTGTCTCGGACCCTCATACCAGGATAATTGACAAAGAGGATATTACAAAAGAAAAGAAGCATACAGCTTTATACCCCAAGGATATAGAAAAAAGGGTTGTTGAAAAAAAGAAGGGGGTCTTGAGCGTTTCTCCTTTATTGTTCTGTAAGACCCCTCCCCTCTCAGCACCCCCTACCCAACCCTCCCCTCCATTGCATGCCAGGCAGACAGATCCCCGGGGGTAAAAACGGCGTCCCGCGACTCAAGACACGCACGCAAGACAGGGACAATGCGTTGCAAGATTGCGGGCACATATAATATGATACAACCGAGCAGGGAAGGGAAGAATGGAAGAAGCAAGAAGCAAAAGTTTCATCTAAACAATGGGACGAACATTGATTACTACCCCCCCGAGTCTCAAACAATGGGATGCCTCATTTTCCTTCTTTTTTGGAAGGGCGGGGCGGGCAGTTCCTCTGCCATCGTCCAGGGACGAAACGTTGCCGCGCCAGCTGTTCGTCGCTTGATGCCTCACCTACTATTTTTGTCCGAAACGTGGAACGCAAAAGCTAATTTTTCTTGCTTTCTTTTTATTCATCTCCAGCCAGCAAAACTAGACCGATAAACGCGGTAATTTCTGACGTTGAGGCATCAGCTGTCTTGGCACAGACGCCCTTAGATATACCAGCTGTTGTTTACTTTCTTTTTCGGTTGAGACTCAGCCATTCCCACACTTTTTCCAATTACACTCTCGACAAAGAGAAAAAGAAGTGACCTCCTTCTGGACCGGGGCACGCCGAAACCAAGCAAAAAGAAAGCTGAAACCATGGCCGACGTACCCATGTACGTCATCTCGGAGAATGCTTCGTCTGAACGTCGCATCACCCCGTCGTGGAGCATCGACACGTTCAAGACGAAGCTCGAGCCCATAACGGGAATCCCACCCTCAGCTCAACGTCTGAGCCTCAAGACGTCCAAGGCGGCGGAAAGCGTGCCTCTGGAGGCGGCGGATGAGGAAAAGACCCTGCTGAGCAGCTTTACGCTGGTTGCATACGGCGAGATCCATGTAAGCTCTATTTTATTTATCATTGGCCTTTGAGAGCTCCTTCTTTTTCTCTTTCCGAGGATGGAACTTGCGTACGAAGGTCATTACTTGGGGGACATCGGCGCGGGAAGGCGGGCAAGACATCAAGCTCTGCTTTTACTTGTTTCTTTCGACTACATGGCAAGCATATGGTGGTGAATCTCGGCCGACACAGAGGTACCTTTGCGGTAGAAGAAAACGTGTCGAACTATTCATCGACGGCACCTGAAACACCCATGGAACGGAGAGAGCTGGAGATGTCTACTTCGACGCAATAAACAGGCCACAATGGAACGCTCAACTAACGATCACAACAGGTAGCTGATACCCGTCCGGCAGGCATGCGTGTGAATTTCAACGACACGTCGGGCGTCGAGAGATATGTCATGCCCGAGGTGGAATATGAAAAGAAGTCTGATTCGGTCCTCGCGTGGAAGAAGGCACAGAAGCTCGGCCGCTTCGACCCCAACGCGCCGGATCAGGAGCAGGCGCGCGTCTCAGCCTTTGAGCAGGAGATTGAGAAGCGGGGCATCGCGGTGGGAAGGCGATGCCGGGTGGGCGGCGAGGACACGCGGCGCGGCGAGGTGCGGTACGTCGGCGAGGTCGGGGAGATCCCCAACGGGGCGGGGCCGTGGATCGGGGTGCACCTGGACGAGCCCGTGGGAAAGAACGACGGCAGCATTGCCGGCAAACGCTACTGGGGCGAGGAGTCGACGACGATGAAGCATGGCGTCTTTGTGCGGCCGGAGCGCGTCGAGGTGGGCGACTACCCTGCCATGGACGACTTGGAAGATATGGAGGAGATTTAAGGTGCAAAAGACAAGGTAATATTGAGGTAAGATACATGGGTATCCAATCAAGGATGTATTACAATATTATACCATGAGTGCTTGATGTTGGTTTATGGTTTGCGTTTTGAGAGTCATTCGAGGGGGTGTTGGTGTCAGCCACCGCCGTGCCGCAGCGACACGAACATCATGAATCAAACCAACAGACTTAGTGCATTGCCCATAGTTTCCCGGCGGACAGGTACCGAGGAGATGGTTATAACTCCCGATTTCCGGGCTTCTGAAACTGAGCCGCGCGTGACCATCCTTTTATTTTCGTTCCTCGCATTGACGAGCACAGCCCAGCGTTGCAGGAACGTTGGAGGTGGGTGACTTGGCCCTGTTTTTTTTCTGTGCTTGTCACAAGTCGTGCGAAACAGTGTAGGGTTTATTTTCCTTCCTTGGATTCACATGATGTATTTGTCAAGAAACGCCCGCCGAGAAGAATGTTGAACGAGAGGAAGGGAAAAAAAAGACGTCATGAGGGTGGCAAGTCTCGACTTACAGCTGCCTAGAGCGTGGCGGCCTGGGCAAAGGCTTGGCTGGCAAGCACAACGTCTTGGTCTAGGGAGGAGGCAGGTGATGGCGTGGGACCTGATGGGTTTGGATTATACTGACTTGCTGTGAGGGAATCCCGGGGGCTGTAACGACGGGATTGAAGCCGTTGGCTGTAGGGCGGCGCGTTGGCCTGGATGAAGTTGTCGTTGCATTCCAATGCGCGAGGCCAGGTTTGTTAGGGCACCTCAGTGCCTGTACCAATACCTTCTCCAGCGCTGTCATCCGGCTTTACGAGGAGCCGTCGTACACGGTTTCACCGGGATTTTGTGTGGCGTAGTGGGCAGTCCTTAGCGCAGCCGCTTGCTGAAGAAGTTGCAAGTGCTAAGGTACAGTAGGCTTACAGGTATCTGAGGTACAACGCATGTATCCTGTCTGGTAGGTTGATGTGAATATGCGAATTCACTAGCGCAATTTGAGCTCTAATTCTACAAAAAAGCTGGATGATATTCAAAGTAGAATGGGAAATCGTTTCCATGTTAAAGATTCCTGATTTTGCTGCTTGTTAACTCGCTGATGGGTGGTTGAAACCACAGAGGCAGCAGGTTTGTAACCTGCGGCGCTGGCGTTAATGTACCCTTATTATCGCTACCTGCCCGCAGTACCGAAAACCCGCATCGAGCTGCCAAGTCGCCTCTCTTGTCTCTGTTCCACCAACCACCGCCCACCCATATCATACCAAGGAAAGCCACCAGTTTGCGGGCTGCAATAGGCCTCTTTGCCAGTTCGTCCGTCGATCGACTCGTCTTTTTCTCATCCTCCTCCTTCCTCTCCTCCTCCCCTCTTCTTCCTCTTCACATCATCGGATATTGACTCTCGACACACCCGACACACGGTAGACTGTCCCACACTCACCCTGGCTTCCTCCCAGTCGGCACCTTCCGCATCGACAAAGAAATCGTCTGCGTCACACGTCTCTTTGGCGGGCTGGTCCGCTCGATCCGCGTAGCGCCCCCCTCAATGACTCGACCGGCTACTTGAAGAAACTCCATGGTTTTGCACTACTTCCTCACCACATTGGACGTCTGTCCCTCTATTTTCCGTCGACGCGCGAGCGCCCCAGACCCGGTGTCCACCGGATAACCCCGGCCGTCCTGCATCGCCACGATCTCACGCAACGACTTGGCAAAGTCCGACGGATCATGGTGCGTTCCGGTCGCGCAACCGCGCTCGCGGCGCTCGCCTGCAGCGCGGTCTATTCCGCGGCGGCGGCCTCGGATGGAATCTCGACGACGTCACCGCAGACCGACACGCCCGACTGGCTCGCAAACGAAAGCCTATCGCTAACGCTCGTCAACTCGGCCACTCCGGGACTGCAATATCCGGTGCTGCCCTCGACCAGCAACATGGGCTTGAACGAATCAGCCAATATCGGCCGGGTAGGTTTCGCACGATATCCAGAAGAAGAAAGGACGAGTGAAGCTAACATTGGCCTGCCTGCAGACCATGAACATCCAGGGTGACATTACTCTCGTGGACCAGAATAACTACTACCAACTCTCTGGGCTGCGCCACATAGCGTACCTGTGCTGCGATAACGCCGACAAGCAAGACAATTTCAACATCAGCCCCAACAAGATGCTCAATCAGCTTATGGGCGCAAACCTGTCCGCCATCATCCTCTACTCGGCCACTACAAACTGGTGTTCCTTTTCTCCAAACAATGGGCCTTCGTACTCGAGCATCGTCACCATGGCGGACAAGGGCGACGCCGCCGACGTCCTCGCACACATCACAGGAAAGCCGAGCAATCAGACGCTATTTGTATCCATCAAGGGCAACACAACCGCCACACCTGACCCGGCTGGAGATGACCGCGGCCACTCGACTGTTGCCATGAGCGTGCTCTATAGCATAACAGGTCTGATCACGCTACTCTTCCTCGCCATCATCATCACCGGCACTGTGCGCGCTCATCGCCACCCTGAGCGATACGGGCCTCACAACGGCTTCGGTCGCCGGCCCAGGCAGAGCCGCGCCAAGGGCATCGCTCGTGCAGTACTGGAAACGCTACCCATTGTGAAATTCGGCAACGATGACCACGCAAAACCCGACCCAGAACTGGAGCTAGAGCCAACTGTGACACAGAATGGTGAGCATGCAGCGAATGCCGTTGCCGCGGGAGGGCTAGGCAGCGGAGCGCCAGAGAGTACTGCAAAGAAGGGGACGGCAAAGGAGAACGACGAGAGGAGTGGCGAGTCATCAGGACCGAACACGGACGCGGATGCTGGCCAGACACACACCCAAGAGACCGGCATAGCTGAACCTGCTAGTGCACAGGACAGCTCCGATCACGGAGACGACCAACTTGGCTGTTCCATTTGCACAGAAGACTTTAATGTTGGCGAGGATGTGCGAGTCCTGCCTTGTAATCACCAGTTCCACCCAGGCTGTGTCGATCCATGGCTAGTTAATGTCTCTGGCACCTGTCCTCTCTGGTAAGTGCCCTTTACCTGTGTTCATCTAAGCCATCACAATGACAATACTAACATGAGCACACAGCCGCTACGATCTTCAGCCTGGCCGCCATGCGGGAGCGCTGGCAGCCGATCCCTCGCTCGAGCTGCCACCGCCCCTGGCACTCGAGGCCGAGGACAACGAGTCGACAGCATCATCCTCGCGCCACAGGGCATCGCGCCTGTTTGATTTGCACCGGCTGCGGCATGTGTCTCCGCAGGAGCGCATCGCGGCGCTCCGTGAGATGCGACGGCGGCATGACGCACCACACGACGAGGATGGGGAGGCGCATGGCGAGGCTCCCAGCGACGGGGCCGAACAGGGCGAGGAAAGCGGACGCGCCACGCGCTTGGCTGCGAAACTGCGCGACAAGTTCCGCATCCGGACCAGGGCTCAGACATGATGCACGCCCCTGAGAATCCCCTGAGAGTCTTGCTGGTGATGTGGAGCGACGCATGCATGTATGCATGGTCATGACCAACATGGTCTACATAATTTTGGACGAAACAAGTTATCCAAGCCTTGAACGAAGATGGATATCTATTATCTAGTCTTAGTTGCCCTGTTTTTGCTTTGATTGATCGAGACACGCTAGGACTCTTGGAACATATTGCTACGATACACATTGTCATGTACGGCGTTTGGGGCTTATAATCTTTGCTTTTCTTGTTACCATACGAATGGGATGGCGTGGCGGCAGCGGTAGGGAGTTGCTTATATGATCCAATCGAAATTTGAATGCGATTCTTACACCTCGGTTTTCTCTTGCCCTGTTCTCGTACTCTCCCGCTCTGCGCGTTGAGTGTGATTTGGTCATGTGTGGTACAAAGGGTATGCATGGAACCGTGCTGGGTCTTGCTTTTATTTCCTCGTTTTCGGCTGTGATACCTCTATTCTCGGTCGTATGACAGAGCGAGGGGGAGAGCGGGCGGGAGGGGGTCAACGTCTTGAGACAGCGCCTTGATGACTCGTTCGGGATGAGTTGGTAACTCGGCTGAATAGAGGGGGTCCTTTCCCCTGCTTCAATCCGTCCCTCCGCCTTGCCAACCGGCTCGATGCAGTCCCTCGAGAAAGGGGCAGCCAACCAGACCCATGGCCCGTTGGCCTTGTCGGATCGAACACAAGTAACCTCACGGTCAGGGTGGCACGAGAGGGCTTACAAGCGCATCCATCCCAACGCCTCTTGGCGGGCTTACCGGAGCCCGTCTTGATCGAATCCCATCCGTTCACGCGCACTTGGAGTGTCCAGCTGCATGCTCGCCCTGTCTCGGTCCCCCCTCCCAACAGGCTAGTGAGTGTGTCCCCCGAGGATGGGCGACGACCTGACAAGATACAGCCATGACCTCCTCCTCGTTTTCCGTGTATGCGCGCGCTCCCGAGGGAACGGTAAGCAGCCTGGGGAGGGGTCGAAAGAGTTGGTCGCACCACAGGCAATAATCTGGATCCTGTCGACTCCTGGCGTTTCCGTTTGTACCTGGCTTGCCTTTTGGGGGGACCCCCTTGTCGATTACATTATTGAAAGAACTTTCACCTCCCACCTCAGCTCGGTTACCGTTCAGCAGAGCATGGTTTCTGGGCCCGCGATTATTGGCAACGTTTCATGGATCTGGGTAGCCGGCCATCCCCAGCGGCGGCGGTCGTGGGGAGGAGGAAGAGAACAAGCTACTGTGCTGGGATTACTGCAGACTCGCTTCATTCAATTGTTCATGATATTTCCAGTGTCTTGCTACATTTGTTCAAAACCGTGTATGTATGTATGTACGTCCATCTCCATCCAGCGCTGTGACTGTGATATTGGCAAGTACCTTCCCTCGGAGCAGGCACGCCCTCTCAAGGCCGCTCGGTAGGTCCGTCGCCTGGTGACCGAACTCGATTTGCAGTGTGCTTATTCTTCTTCTTTCTCTCGTATTTAGTCTCCAGATACCTGCTTCTCACCATTCTCCTTCTCATTCCATTGATACCCTCTGCCCATATCCTTTTTTTATACCTCGTCCTCGTCCTCGTCCTCCTCCGCCAGAAACAAAAACCTCTCCCTTTTACTTGCCTATGGACATAGACGACAAAATCACCCGCCTCCTAATCCTGATATAAGCCTTCCCTCAATCTCCTAGCGCACCGGCACGATAGCCGCCCTCGTATCTTTTCACATCGTCTCTCGGCAACCCTCATAAGGCCGGACCTCACGCTTGCCTCCCGTAGGAGGGCAAAAGAAAAATCAGGCCATGTCGTCGTCATCGGACACCCAGCCGGTGCCCCTGGCCGGCCAGGTTCTCAATGTCGTCTTGTCCCTGGCAGCCACTACCGCACTGTCACATTTCATGAGTACGTGACGCTACAGTTATTGTGTACACTGCAACTTGAAATGATGTTTCTGAGGCTAATCACGACCAAAACTGTGTCTTCTTGCAGCGCAACGCATAGTCGTCATCAAAGTCTGGCGACGACTCCCCCTCGTTGTGTGGCGTACGTTGCGCTCTTGATCTCCGTTTCTGAAGAACCCCGAGGATCCAGGCCGCTTTGCTCTCTGACACTCGTGTGTAGTCGTCTTTGCCATCTACGTCGACTCTTACTGCTTCGTCTTTGCCACGGCCATGCTGCAGCACGCCTTTGGCGTCAATCGCAACATTGGCATTTGTCGCGGCGCCATTTTACTGTGTCTAGCATGTTATGTGACGACAAAGGTATTTGCCCAGCTCATGCTTCTCTCGTCGTGATCTTTGCTAACGATGTGACAGATTGTTGGTATTTCCTAAAAGCCTAACGCGCGCTGTTCTGACACTGGCAGTTTATCTACTTATTCCTCGTCGAAAAAGCTGTGAGTTAACAAGCTGTCTAACCAGGCGCTATTGCTAGACTAACAATCTTCCCAGCACGTTGTCCGGGGATCTGCAAAGCGACGGCTGCAATCCAAGTTGTACATCTTCAACTCATTCGGCATGTTGGGAATGTACACGGTGGTTGTTATTCTCAATTTTATCTTGTCTGTACCTATTTGACCAACTGTAAGTATTCGACGTGTTCTAACGTGTCTGTCTAGTCGGATCGCTCGGATGGAGAACGGCCAGTGTATCATCGGCATGCAGAGCATCTCCATGATTCCGCTCATTTCATTTGATGCCGTTGTCAATGTATACCTGACAGTGCTCTTTCTTAAACCATTGAAAAGTAAGCTTCACTACGCGCCGAAATAGGCAAAAGACTGACCCGTTAGACTTGCATTCGTACAAGAATATGCCACAGACTCACGCCAATGTCCGACTGCGAACGGTTGCCTTTCGAACCTTTGTTGGTTCGTGCTGCACACTGGTGAGCAGTATCGTGTACGTGTTGAACGCGCCCAGAAAAACAGAATTTTGGATACTAACTACGATAAAGAAACCTCTCTGTCTTGATGGCTCTTAACGGCGAGCCCGGTTGGGTATGCCTCTTGTGCTGCAACTGCGACAGTACGTACATCCACCCGCTTTCAACCAGTCTATTGATTGGTCTCGTCAGCGACTAACTTGAGGGGTAGTTTTGTTTTCCGCCATTGTCATACAATGGGTAACGTCGAGAGATAATGCTGGAACGTCTAGCAATAGCTCCTTGCGCGCCGCTTGCAACGGCAACGGATGCGGTAGCGGCGCCCGACCTGCCGGTGCGACGCCGCCCGACCAGCACCGCGAGTGTCGCCTCGGTCACTCGCCATGTCTCCTCGATGCTGCCAGCGGCAGAGCGTCGTCATCGCTGCCGGCAACGCCTGCCGAGTTCTCGCTCGCCGCCACGACGCGCTGCTGCTCCCACGGGCTTGACTACTACGACGCCGAGTCGTGCGACTCGATGAGTATCACGGCTGTCGCCGCCGCCAAGACGCTCACTACTGCCTCAGAACACACCAACAAGCGCCCGGCCGTCCTAGTGACGACGACGATTGAGCGTGAGACGGCACCCCTTGGCTCCCAGCCGCCGCCGCAGCAACAGAGGATGCCGCATAGGTTGCTGGGTGCCCACCGCAGCTCGCATGGCGACACAGAGGTCGCCGCCGCTGCCGTAGCGGCTGAAGCGGCCACTTCGACTCCTCCTCCTCCTCCTCTAGAGGAGCTGAGGCGTGGTAGCAGAAGCCTCGTGCCACCGCCGCCGCTGCCGTCATGGGGGGCGACGACGCAGCTGGGACATCACCGGTCGCCATCGTGAATGGTGGGCGGCGGTTGGACGACGACGAGTGTATGCAGAGAGGGACGAGGAGAAAGGTGCTGTACGCGGCGGCCGGGCATTTTGGTGCATGTTTTTGTCGGTTTTGCAGGTATTCATACTACAAACCTCTCTATATCCTTGACTAGGCTAAAAGCAAGGGTTCTTCTTTGGTGACCTTGCTAGACATGGCGACACGGACGCTTGCAACCACCGTGTAAGAGAAATTGGCGTGAATGACATCACCATGTAAAGAGGAACAAATAGAGTATTCCATGAAATCTGCATTTGGCTATTTCATTGATGCGTGTCGACATGACAAAGACGTCGCAACCCCTCTTTGACTTGACCGTTTTCCAAAAAAAAAAAAAACTCGTCCGCACAAACCGTCGAGGAATGCGAGGCAAGATTTGAAAAATGGCCAAGACACGAGAGTAAAAGGTATTGAAATGTATATATACAACGAGAAGGGTAAACAAGTATCTGTGTGTGGTTTTGTGCGCCCTTTGAAAAAAACAAAATCCGTTTGGTTCCAAATGTATCCGTTTCTACCAACATGAAAGAAGATCAATCCGTAACCGTGACATCAAAATATTGAAAAAAAAAAAAAAAGAATGGAGCGATTGATTGGGAACAGTCTGGGTATATCCCTAACGAGTGTGCAAGAAGTGAAGCAGATATATAAACGAAGGATGAATCAAATAGCGAGGGTCGACTCGGTATTTGCGTTGAGTGAATCTGGAAGATTTTGATCGTCGCAGAGGATGACTTGGGAGAAGAGCCGCGCTTAGCCGGCGATGGCGGCGTAGGCATTGCCAACCGCATTCAGAATTGTGTTGGAGCTCATGAGTGTGGGCTGGTTAACCATGAAGTACGAATAGGCATCGAGGTAGTCGAGAGAGTCAAGCTTGGGTAGCGTAGACTTAAGGAAGGAGGAGATTGTGTCGTCGCTGGTATCAAGGGGGGCAAACTCGGTAAGCCAGATAGGCTTACCCTTGCAGATCTTGTTGGCATTCTCGAGATGGGTGAAGAGGGTGTCAGCGTACTGGGCCTGGGAGTACCAGTGAACAGCGCAAAAGTCATAATGGCAGTTAGAGTTGGCGTCACAGGCGTCCACGAACTGTTGGAGCCACGCAAGTCCCTGGCCGCCCTCGCCTGAGTTGGAGACAGCAGGCGACCCAATCTGGACGCGGCCGTTGTAGGCCTTGAAGTACTTGGCGTGAGCAGCAGCAGCAGCAGCAGGAGCCATGTTGGCTTGGGCTGGCATGTCAGGTTCGTTGAAGCTTAAGAGAGCCTTGGCGCCGTTGGAAATAGCAGCCTCGGCATCGGCGTCCCAGTGGCTGGTGTGCACGGGAAGATCGCCCCAAAGCATAGGAATGTACTGGAGGGAGGAGTCAAGACCGGCAGAGTTCGAGGCCCAATTGTAACCCCAGCCACAGCCCTTGCATTTGCTCTGGAAAGAATTGGCCAAAGAGGCATCGTTGTAGGCGAGGCCCTGCTTGGAGAAGCCGAGGCGCTTGCCGGTGCCGGTGCTGGTGGCGGCCGGCTTGACAGCGGTGGACAGAGTAGTCTGGGCGGCAGGAGCGGCTGCGGGAGCCTCAGAAGCAGCGACGGTGACCGTGGGAGGCTTGACGTCCTGGATGAAAGCCTTGGCGGCGGTCTCCGCAGGAGACGAGCCGGCGCCAGCGGTGACGTAGACGGTTTGAACGACGGTTTCATAGACGATGTTGTCGATGATGTTGTCACGCTTGGCGGCGGCGGCGTGCTGGTGGCGGTGGAAGCTCAAGGCGCTGACCTGGTCGAGGAGGGAAGCAGCCAGAGGTAGGGCAACGGCAGCTTTGGAGAACATGTTGACGGTTGATGGTCTAAGTTGATGAGCAGGTGCAAGTTGGTCGGTGGTGATGCTCTGCTGTTCGGGTTGCGATGTCAAGGATTGTGGTGAAGTCTTTCGAGATGTTTCTTTTGAGAGATGTTTCTTGCTTGATCAACAAGGAAATGAGAAAACGGGAGTCGATAGAGATTCGGCGCGGCCGTATAAGGAGTGGTGATGGGAAGTGAGTCTATCAAAGACTGACTTGAGGTTGAACCAAAGGAAGGAAGACGAACAGCGAGAAGAGGCTGTGGGTGCAGAGTCGAAGCTAGCTTGACGACGTGAAGAAAGGAAGGACGAGAGGGAACGTGAGTGAAGAAGTGTGCGAGAAGGGAGGGTTAAGAAGAAGAGGAGGAGAAGAGAGGGAGGATGGGATGGGATGGGATGGGAGGACGAGGGAGATAGGACGAGGGCAAGCATCCATCCGGCCCATCCCACAGCGAGCCCACATTGGCACTGGCTCGCTGCCGCATGGATTGACTGCGGTGGCACTTGCACTGGCAGAAGAATGGCAGCTGGTAGACAGACAGCATCCTAGAGGCAGCTGGCAGAAGAGCAAACGGAGGTCGATTGGTACAATGGTACCTGAGCTAGAGTGCGTTTGCAGCATGGCATGCAGGTACCTGCCTACCTGGGTAGGCGTTTGGCGCCCAGGCACAACAGGCAGGAGCAGAGTGGTGGGGATGGTACCCATTCGGCCACTGACCTGCTTGAGGCCGTCAGCGGTTGAGTGGGTACGAAGCACGCCAGGTGGGTGCCAAGGAGGCTTGAGAAGGCGGGTCATTGCTAAAAGTGCGGGACTTCTGCCGGTGTCTGTCTTCCAGACTCTCCCTTCCGTCTTTCTCTGCCCAGTTTTTAGGCGGTCGGTGGGTGGGCTGCGCTCGGAGGACAAGTTTGGTGTGGAGCGTTGTGGGAGGGAGGGGCGTTTGCAAGGGGCCGAGCAGAGCAGAGGAAGGAGGGCCGCTTGAGCCTGCAGGGGATCAGGTACCAGAACTGGCAGAAGGAACCGAAACAGAAAGGGCCAGGCCTTGGATCGACAACCCAGGTACCATCGCCGTCAGACCCAGTGCTGCCTCGGCGCCTTGGCCGTTCAGTTCATTGGCCTGACTTGCAAGTCTTGCAGCGTTTCAGGCGCTGTATTCCGTCTGTCGCAGCTCTGGTCAGCTGGCAGTGACCTGCTGATAGGAACATGCATTGGTGCCAGCTGCGGTAGGAATAGGTGTGTCGCCTTCATGCCCAATAAACACTTGCTGCCTGTGACGATTGTCGTTTTGCCCTTGTGCTAGATACCTACGTACCACCTGAGATAATCTAACTTGGGCCGGAGATGAAGGACAACGGCGCCGCATTATTACCTCTGTATCCAATCCAGACGAAAAAGCCCATGGACAGCTGCACAGTTGAGCCCAACACTCAGCTTCCCGTCCGTCCTGACATCTCATCCTCACCCGGGTCACCCCTGTCCTGTCAAGTCAGGATCCCTGCACGCAAAAAAAAAAAAAACTGCCCGACCACGTAATCGCCGCCCACAGCAGATCCCCCTCTGGGTACGTTTATGCCGCCCGCCGGCATAACAAACCAGGCGCCGCCCGCTCGGCGTTCAACTTGAAACAGGACAACCAATCTTTTGGCACACGTTTATTACGGAGTTATGGTTCTACAAAATTTAAGATGGGAATGGGGAATGGAAACGCCCCGGACAGCAGGTTTGTTTGGGTTCATTGTTTAAATGGAGATTTTGGGCGCCTCACACTCAGCGGCTGCATGTTCCATGCAAGAAGCAGCTCGTCTTCCCAAAGTGGCAGCAATATCTCGGGCTACAATTCCACTTTCTGCCACTTTTTTACTGCAGTACTTCCCAACTTGATTGACACCTCCTGCCCTTGCAAACGAGCCTTGCTTCTTATTCAACCCAGCCACCGCACCGACAGCACATGTCACTCTCCACAGACCTTACCTGGTGCCGGGCCACTGGCCAAGTAAGCCATTGTATCAGCAGATGGAATTTCAAAGCCAAGGCCGACGAGAGGATAAGAATTTTCGTAGTACCAAGTAGCGCGATTTATTTTTACCATGTCTGCTTTTTCTTCCCTTCTCCTCTGAGTTGAGAGCTCGCTTCCCGTTTGCGGTTCCGGCAAACGCCAATAAACCCCTGCCCTTGACCCACAAAGCCCGCCAGTCAGCCAATAAAGCCCCAGTGGATCGCATCTCAGGGCAACGTGGCCCGACATCTTGGTCCCGATCCAGCCAATCACAGCCCACAGAACAGCTCTCGAGAAGACTGATGAAACGCGCAGGGGTTTACGGCACCAGCAAAAAAAAAAAACGGGAAGCACTGCAGGGGGCTGGCAGGCTATGTACACGTACGAGTAGAGCCAGGGTAACGACTAAGATAGTGACAAACCAGGGATGAAGAGCTGAACCATTGTTTCTATTATTCGTAAGCGCCGTGTCTTGTCTTATCGTTTACTTGTCTCATACGAGTAACTACGCCGTTCTAATTCAAGTCATTGCTGAATCTATTCACTAGCACGGCGCCTACCCAGACAGGTGCAAGTACCACATTGCGGCAACCACCACCTACCAGCAGCCAGTAGTTACCTTACCATCCCGACCCAAAATGACGCATCCACATTAGTAGTTAGAATCCACTGTGATACGGATACACAATAATCTGTAATACTGGTTTAAATGGCATGCATTAGAGAATAGTTTAGCAAATAACGCCTTTTCCCTTGCTTTCGGTTATTTTCGTTATTATTATTTTTTTTTCGGGAAAACAGGAATAGGCATACCCTCACATTTAGGCACTCATCCACCTGTCACTCTTTCCACCACAAGCTGCTTCCTGCTGCAACCACCAAAAAGGAGGGGGAAAAAGTGAAGGTCATGTACCTCAAAGCCACGAATACATGTCATCGCCATATTACACTTAGCCAACCCCCAGGTACTCATGTCCTGGTGTCTCCTCTAACTAGTGCAGCTGCTTCTGGAACCTCACAGTCAGCCAGCCTCAACTCTCACCAGTGACATTTACGGATACCCGCCCACTCAACAGACCAACTGCAAGTCTGCAGATACTTTTCACCTGCATCCGACAGACTGTCCAAGTTAGGCCGACCACACATATGGAGACGTTCTCTCTTTTTTCTGTTCGTCGGTCAGGCTGTTTTGCTTCCTCGGCTCAAGCCCGCCCTTGTCCCTTCCCGTTCGCTTTGTCAAGACCAGCCCTCCTCCGATGACAAAGAAAGGCCAAGCCTGGTATGAATGTTCTGGACCCTGATGATCCGCAATCCTAGAGCCCTCCCTCATGTCACATTCTGACCTGCCTCGCTAGGTTTAACACGAGGTTGGTTTTTTATCGCTTTTTGAGGCCGCCCCAAACATGCCCTGCCCTTTCGCCTCAGCACGTACCAGATGGTAAGTTATTCACTGGAGGTCTACGACCGGACCCCGGAACAGATGGCACATCTTGATACTCGTATCACCTTTGCGATTTCCTTGACAGGCAGGTTGTAGTATCTCCATGCGACCGCGGTTTTGAGTTCTGGATTCCAAACCTCTTGAGATCGCGTCGAACTTTGTGGCCCCCGGCGGAGTCACAATGGTCCTGTCTCAGCGAATCGTCCGCACCCGAGACCGTGTAGTAAATTCGTAGAGGTATTTCTAACTCGTAATTGGCACAAAGTCAATAGTCAAAAAGCATCGCTGCACGAGTCGTTTTGTCGTTTCTTACTCATGAATCGGCATTATAGTTCAAGCTAAGCTGTCAGATTGCCCATGGGGAAAAAAGGTAAAATCAGCCTCAATTGATGCTTTCCGCTACCATCTTGATCATATGCGTCTTGCCGAATTGGCGATACATGGAAGCACGGGGTACATACGTGTATACCTTGACTCGTTTGCTTTCCTTGTCAGATGCGACAAAGCGAGCGTGCAGCGTTGTCGTCGTATCCCCGGTCCAGGCCACCAAAGGTCCGCATTCCCCCGCCCTTGTCAGGAATGAAGCCCACGTAGTATGAGAATATTCTCTTTGTCGGCACAGACAATTGTCTCCAGCCTTTTGGATTTCTCCTGCGTCGTCATCTTGGCGCTCGCTCTGCCGACCTGCACAGGACAGGCCACCTTGCATCGACGCCGAGACGCGCATGTGAGCTGTCGCAACATTCTGCAGAGTAGTGTTCGGTTCGGCTTCATCAATCGCGATGGCGCAAGTTGGCTTCTCCTCAGGCTAAGCTGCTCCGGGAGTCCCGACCGAGGAACCGGTGTGTGTTCTTCGTTCTTCTAGTGACTGAATTAGTTGACTAGCTCCAACTGCCACAATCACACAAGCCAACTCGAGCGAGAGCCTCGTTCTTGCCTCGACAAACTTTTGCACTATTATTCATGGCGTTCCGCTAGTTAGCTCGCCTGCAGCCGGCTGGATGAGAAGGGTAGGCAGTTGGAAGGAGGGAGGGGGGGCCGTTCGTTGTCGGTGTGATTGTCGTCCGTTCACCTGCATTTACGAACCAAAGTTCCTCCCCCGCACCTGTACTTCCGTCCCCGTTTGAAAAGTGCATATGTGTCTGTGTATTCCCTCAACAGGGCTTGTTCAGTTGACAGCACATTACGTGTCACCGAGGCTTCAATGTTTGCGAGCGACATGGCCAGAGCAACCAGAGCAAGTCGGATACTCTGGCATTCGCACTTCCCTCAATCTCAAAGGTCTTGAGGTCTTGACAATCCTTGTTTCAATTAGTTGCAGATATATCCATTGTAGCATCCCGATTTAACCGGCCAAGACCCCACAGATCACCCTCTCCCCCTGCGACTCGAAACAAGCCATCGACTGTCAGAAACCCCTTTACAACCCTTGTTAAAATGAACAAAGAGCCATTTGCCCACGCTAAATCCGTCGTCTCCCCCTTTCATCCGCCCTCAAGCGAAATTACACCCTCCATTTTGCTCCTCTATCCTCTCTCGCCCCTGTCGTCTTCATCGTCGCCTTTCCTCCAGACGGCAAGGTTTCCCAGATGGCCAGCGACCAGACGAAATCATGATCCCAGTCTCCCTCCAGCCGGCAGACGCGTGCCGATTGATTGCGCTCCTCTTGGGTCCGATTCGCCGCTTTGATTAAAATAGAGGCCGCGATCCTTGCTCTATCGCGTGCTGCTGGCGATTTAGTGCCCGACCTTCCCGTTCTCTGTGCTTGCTGGCTAGTTTCAAACCCCTGGAGCCTTGCCTGTCGCGGGTTTGTCGGCACCGACCGCAGCCATAAAGAATTGTCATCTGTTTATTTTTTATTTTCTTTAAATTCGGCTTGCGCCCTCATTTCCATGGAGCCAAGAAATTCCTGGGTCAGCGAGGTTACGCAAGCCTCATTTCCACAGCGGGCTGCCCTGCCCTGTCGCCTCAGCACATACCAGATGACACCATCAACTCGCACCGCCATCGTTCTATTGCTGCGGCTATGCGACACGGTATAATTATCTCGTAAATCTAATAAAAATCACTCGGCCAACAAATCTATTTTTTTTTTCAGCCCTCTTTGTATTTTGGAGTATTCTGTTTTTGTTTTTGTCTTTTTTTTGTTTTTCAGCACTCTTTGCTGCCGCTCGTCTCATTCATTGGTCCATCATACTCGAACGATGACGGGCTCGCTTCCCATCGCATCGCTCATTTCCTTTTTCTCAGCTCTTCCAAAAGCTTCATAAATTCATGCAGAGCTGAGCAATTGGCCCACCGCGTGAACTCGCCGTCTTCATTCGTCAACTGTCCTCGAGGATTCATCGTCTCCACGGTCGTCACCTGTTCGTTTGCGCTCCGCCACGCTTCCATGAACCGAATTTCTTTCTTTCTTTTCCGTATCGCGTGGCAGGTTACACGGTGCATGCCGTCAGACAAACTACGTATCATTTCAAACGAGGAATTTGCTCAAGTACAGCAGCACAGCTGGAACACGGACAGTATATCCCAAGCGAACAGCGAAGTATGTAGAAGGCACGCAGATAATCGTTGATCATGTCCACCAGTCAACCATGCTACTCCTAGAAGCTCCACAGTTGATGCATACATGGTTGTTACTCTTGAATAGCTGTGTCGGCGCCGAATTCGTACCTTGATCCGCTTGTAATCCAACAAGCCACATGACAACAGGGCGTCCTTCAAGTCAATCACCACAACAACTAACTGCTCAGCGGTACCGGAAAACCTGCACAACACAAAATTAGCCCAGTGTATTGACATTAGCTCCCCGTGATCTACATGCAAGCAATCCACCACAAAGAATCTCGCCACTGGATGCAAGGTGTGTTGGCGGCCAAGCACAGCAGCAGCTACCCTACACTGCTTTACATGAAATTGATGGCGGTTCACGTAACTTGGAGGCCCCTGCGGCGGTTTACAATAACCTAAAAGCCACGGGATTTCTATGAAACTCTGTAAAAAGCCGGTGTAGCTGCTGAGGGGCGTGTAACTCGTCTCGTTTACGTGATACTTGCATAGAACCAACACCTTGTTTGAAAATAGTGACATTCGAACAATGACATTAATCTTCTAACATAACCGACATGACGAAAACTATAAAAAGAAGAATGTTACACGTTTGAAATTTGTATTCATACACGACAGACACAAAAACTACTGGGAATTTGAGCGCCTTCTATTATCCGTGTGTGATCGGCGGCATTGATCAGACTTCACCTCGAACCGCCGTGTCCGGTACACGGTAGCAGATTTCGATACTCCCAGAGCATTATTACCTGCGACAGGGAAATCAGTTTATCCACCATAGTTATTGCCGCAATGGCGGTGCACTCACTCCGTGCTGCGCATACTTACTTGTAGGAGGGCGTGGGGGAAGCCAGTATCATGGGCGACAATATTTCCTATGCGAATCGCGGACTCCAGCATGGCGGGTGACATTTTAGAAAAAAGGATATTTCCTAGCCTTTCACCGACTGTATTAGCTTTGGACCAAGGTGACAGCGTTTCCAGGGCGGCAAGGCACGTCGCGCATTTCGAAGGACAATGCAGGCCGTGGACTGTGCAATGTGACTGAGCAGGCGAGAATACCGCAAGAAGTAACATAAAATGGCCATGAACACTGATAATTTATAGCTATCACTGAATTTATGACACACTCTCTTAAAAAGTCTCTTCATGTACTGACACGCCCACTCTCTGAGTCATGTCCCGGTCCAGATGCTCTTGTAAAACTCTAGATCCATCATCTCCAGGTAGCCAAGCTGGAGAGCACATAGTAAAAAGGTACGATCAAGAAATGTCTTCATTGTGTCTGGGTGATATTGGTAATATGTTTTCCATGCCACGTGAAATGGAACCCCCGTTTGCTACTGGCGCATCATCTCGGACTTGGACATGGAGTCCTGCTTCTTGACCGGATGCTGCTTCGTGGTAATGAATGAATCGATAAGGTCTTTGGAAAACTCCGGAACTGTGACGAGCAGCTTGTCGAGCGCTTGGCGATGACTGCCGTGCGCGGTCAACCAAGGGCCGAAGCCTGCAGTGGTGGCGGCGACGCACTCTTTCCTAAGCAGGCTCCTAGCCGAATTTTGCTGCTCGTAGACGCTTGGAATGATTTCAAGGAGGGCCATGAAGCAGTATCCGTAGTCTGGATGAGAAAGCACCGCTCGAAACTCGTCAACGACTCGGACGACGAGCTCATCGACGAGGCACGTTTCGGCGAGGTCGAGCAGTTTGATGTGAGCCGAGAGTACGGTGACAATTGCTGCTTTATTCCTTATGTATTTGGGGTTATCGATCATTCGAGTTTCGGATATTGGAAGGCTAGGGTCGTGTGAAACGATTGGGCCTCGTACAGAGTAGGTATGCTTGCCCGTGTATAGATACTGGACCATGAGCTCGACTGTCTGAATGTCGGAGTGGGGAATGCCATAAGATATCGGGGCCGCTCTCTGTTTGAATCAATTACTTATTTTTCCTTTTCTTTTCAAACCGGTAGATCATGCCACTGACCTGCGATCTTCTGGAGCAGATGTTTGCAAAGACTCGCGACTGGGCGCAGACAACGGCCTTGTGGACGGGTATGCTGTGCCCTTGGCAGACCAAATCGAAATCGCAGTATTTTCTCTCTTGGAGAGAACTAGTCCTTCCTAATTAATTCGCGTCGAATGAGAAGAACTGGCTGGAAACCTGACTGACCGAAGCACGCTGGCCGCGGCCTGGCTGGAGAGGCCATCGGTGGCAAAGGACGGCTCTTTCATGGTGGAGTGTGTGCGGTAAGAGAAACAGGGCGGACTGCGAGGAGATAGATGGCGGAGAAAGAATGCAGAGTTTTTGGAGAAGGAAGAATTCGAATCGGAAAAGGTCGCTGATAATCGTGTCTGCATCCTCCTGATAGAAGCAAAGTGACAAGGTGACAAGAGGCTGTGATGATGCTCACTTCTTGCAGCCCTCACGGGCTGGAGTGAGCCGAGTTGGAAATGGGTCCAAATATTGATTATAGTGTAAATTAATGCGAATAATGATTCAGGCTTTGTTCATTTTGAGCGGGTTTATTGCTTAATGTTAGATTTCAGCAATTCTGGTCTCCTCCTGCGACGCCTACAGAGCAAGGAACTCACCGACGAATGTTGGCCATCACTAAGCTTAAAATGCCACTGCTCTGCTGATAATGAGAGAGAACATGTATACTCCCAGTATTGAGTTGCTTGTGAAATGGCAGCTCAATTCTGTTTGCCCTCTGTTTGCCGGCTTCAATTGATATGGTCAGCCTAGTAAAGCATTCACGCGAGGAGTCTTGAAAGCAACTATCTGCAGTCTCGCAAGTGTTATTTGGAATTTGGAGAAGAGTAAAAAGATGGCGACAGAAGGCTTCTGCTGGCGCTTTGAAGAATACTTATTGACGACAACCTGGGGCAATTATTTCCACTGCTTGGAACAACGAGTTGACCGACTCGACGGCAGCAATCAATGTCTGTAGAAAGTGCATTGTCACTGCAGGGGCGCGTTTTCCGCGTATTTGGTATTAAGCCATTTATGTCCAAGTAAAATGGGAATGATAGGCTGCTATAGCTTGGTGATGTTGATATTGTCTTAGTACAACAGGTTCTTTCCAATACAAATCCTCGGTGGAACGAACCACGGCTTCCATCACCAACCACCAACACGGCCACACGGCCGAGCAGAGAACCGTTAACGCCACCCTGCCAGACGGACGACATCTCCGAAGCATGCAAACTAATCATCAAGCCCTCACCATCCACGCAGCTATCAGGCACCCACCCCCCTTACCGACGGGGTGACGCCTGGTCGGGCAACCCGCAAAGCATGCCGTCCACGAGTCTTCAGCCGCACTGCTTGCGGTGGGGATCGGCCCTGTCTTCCTTCGCATGCATCGCCCGGCCATTCAGAGCTGCGTCATGGCTCATCTTGACCGAAAGCTTCTCATTTAGCGGGGCTGCCAGTTTGTGTGAACAATATTTTCCGCCGTCTATTAATCTTCTGGGCTGTCCTCATGCGGATATCGAGACCGCCCTGCTGGGCTGGGGCTGGGCTGGGCTGGGCTGGGCTGGGATGGGCTGGAGAGGGGCCGCGCAACGGCTGTCGCGAACTTGTCTCCTCGTGGACAACACGTGATGGTCTGAGCCTTCTTCCTTTGACGGAGCCCTGGCCGCTTGTTTCCATCACAATTCACGAACCAAACTATCGGAAATACCGCCTGGATCATTACTGGTGGTGGTAACCTCTCTGGTTGGACTCGATCTGACACCCGCTGAACGCTACCCCGAGCTAAAACGATACAGCTTCAACTGCCCCGCAAAGCCTCCTGTGCAATTGAACTCCCTCTTCTCTGCCTTTGACAAACTCGCAGTTGGGAATTCGACAATTTCGGTACTATCGACTCAGGTCTTTCCAAGGCTCGTACAGAAAGCACAAACCCACCCCCATCTGTCGTCACCATGGACATGAACGGCTACTCATCTGGCATGCTGCCGTACGCTGACCCGGGTCAGTTCGACTATGGCTCGTTCCTGGGCAGCGACGCCGCCTTGCAGTTCCAGGACCTGGCGCCACCGCACAATCAGGCCGCGCTCACCCAATCCCCCGGCCAAGTGACGCCGCCCAGCTCCGAGAGCAGGAGCCCGCCCGGCGCCGAGTTGGCCAGGCGTCAGGGGGCCGCGAAGCAGCGCCTGGAAAGGAGAGGCCACACTAAGAGCCGACGCGGCTGCTACAACTGCAAAAGACGGCGTATCAAGGTAAGGGATGGCGATACTGCTATGGTGAGGCCTGGGCTGGATAGAAGGATCTTGCTTGCTGACTCGAGTCACAGTGTCAAGAAACGCATCCGGCCTGCGGGCACTGCGTCAAGACTGGCTTGAAGTGCGAGTACCCTGCCGCACCTCAAATCATTCACCAGGTGAGTCGGGACAGACTTATTCTGACGGGAGGCATCGTTCTAACAAAACCGGCCGTAGCCGCATCACCAAATTCCTCTTTTCAGCTTGCAGGACATGCGCTTCTTCCAACACTTCCTGACGCAGTGCTACCCGCACCACCCGCTGAAGCAGGAGGAGGTCTGGACGCACGACATCCCCTGCATCGCGCACAACCACGAGTTCCTCATGCACGCCATCCTCGGCTTCGCCGCGTCGGAGCTCGTCCACCAGGACGCCAGCCTCGTCACGGCCGCCATGAACCACCGCGTCAAGGCCATCAAGGCCATCAAGCGGCGGCTGGCCGAGTCGTCGCGCAACGACACCAACTACGAGGAGGCCAACGCGCTGGTGGCCACGTGCTTCGCGCTCACCTTCCAGTCGGTCAGCCTCGAGGACGGCATGGCCGAGTACATGACCTTTATCCGCGGCATCGTCATCATCGGCATGCAAATGAGCTTCCGCAACATCGCGCCGGTGTTCACGACGCTCTTCGACAACGACCCCAACGAGCTCCTGGCCGCCCAGATGGAGGACCTGCCGCTCATCGAGCGCGCCTGGGTGGACGCCGCTGTGGCGGCGCTCGACGGGCTCAAGCCGCTGTGCGCGACGCAGCTCGAGAACGAGTACCGCGAGCAGCTGCTGGGCATTGTGGAGAAGCTCTACGAGAATTCCTTTGAGGGTGAGTTTTCCATTTCCTATATTCCTCCCCCTTCAGTCAGACTGACAAGACTCGGGCAGCGTATAAGACAAACTCGAGGCAGTACGGGTGGTGGATGCTCCTCCCTCACGGCACCTTCCAGGAGCTCATCAACATGCGCAACCAGACCATGTTGCTGCTGCACACGCACTGGATCGCGCTGTCGCAGATCATGGCCTTCATCACCGAGCAGGAGATGAGCGTGCGGCAAAAGTACCCGTCGCAGCAGGAGAACCGGATGGACCCGGGCTTCCTGCGCTGGCTCAAGTACCTCAACGCGCGCGTCGACTACGAGCACCAGATGCACAACCAGTGGCCGCTCTGGGTGGAGGAGCAGCTCGATCGGGACCTGACGTTTTTTGGCCGGAGCGCGTGCTGAGCATGCGCACCATGATATCATTCTTGACATGTGTTTAGCAAATCGACTTTTGCATTCAGTGAAGCGACGCTGTGGGTTTGAGCCTCGTCTCTTGTGTACTACGCCCCCAGGTGATGGCGGGAGTGGCTGAGCGTGCGGCTGTCAGGAATACGCAGAATTCGGTGCATAACTACCTATGCACTCTTGATCGGCACGTGGAGCCTTGCCACCACATGCTTTCGGCTTTGCAGTGCAGATGAGCAGAGATGCGAGTTGGCTGTCGGCGTGAGGCTGAACACAGCCACGCCGGGCACACGGCCGGGCGACCGCTAACCGGGTTGGTTTACAGTGAGTGGGGACCTGCTAAAGGCCCCAAAAGAATTTAGTAGGGGACTTCCGGCGACCTTTACAGTACCACCCAGCATCGTGCCAGAAGCGAAAGCAATTAAAATCCTTGCAGCAGTTGACTGCTTTGACCGAATTCTTCATTCGCTGATTTAACAAACTAGTGGGATTTGCACATTTTCTCTTATTGGTTAGGCATCGAAATTGTATTCTCACTGTCGCCCCATGTCAGCGGCTTGGCCTCCTTCGTTGGCGCCGCCAAACCACTGAACAACTGTCAGCAACTACCGACAGTGTGCATGGGCTTATTAGATGGATCGGGATGAGGCCACAATCCCATCCAACTGCGGAGGCTGGCGCGGGGGAAAGATTGCCTCCCATGCGCTTTGTGCCTGGATCAGAAGAGCGTCCTCATGCGCTCTGGCCGTAATCTGCATGCCAAATGGCCTTCCGTTGAAATCGAGGTGCCCAGGAGGTAGCGATGCGACTGGGTATCCTAAACCAAGGTCGTTAGAAGGAGGGAGCAAATGAAGGGGCTCCCGAGAGACATTTGTAACGGATCTTGGCCACTCGCCCGCAGTGCCAGCAATGATGACCATAGGCCCATCACCCGGTCCAAGGATGATGTCAACCTCATTCTCTTCCAACACCCTGTCAATTCTTTTCTCACCGCAAGTGCTACGAGCCTCGTCTATCAGTTTGCGATATTCCTCTGGAACCATGGTGGGCGTGCAAGGCTCTGATAAAGCCAGCTTGATTTGCCGCACATAACAAAGAAATGAGTCTACCAAAGCTCATGGCAGTATCAGGACGACTTACGGGGGGGCAGTTCTTCCGCCGCATGCTCTTCATTGAACTCAATAAGCTCCTTGAGCGTACGGACTTTACAGTCGTCAACACTTTGAAGATATTCTTCCAAAAGGGCCTGGAAGGTTGTGTCTGTGTGCGCATTGGTGTCCTTGTTGGTTTGAGGGGTCATACGAAAAGCATCCCAAATGTCTCTCTTGCCGCCCTGTGAAGCTTCTTCGATTGAGACAAGTTTCACGGGCTTCACAACTTTGGCAACAGACTTGAGTTTCTCATAGGCCGCGTTCCATTCTCACAGCTTTCGTTACTGTGAGTGGCATTCTTGATCATCTCAGGGCAGGAAGACATACCATTTGATCAGTAGCATCTTTCTCGTACTTGACAATCTCCGTTGGGAATAGCCATTGTTCTGGATCCAAGTATCCGATGCGTATATTACCCCAAGAGCTGTTCACAGCCCTCTTGTAACCCCCTCCTGGCAGGGATGTACGGGACGGGTCCACGAGTACGTCGAGAAGATTGGCCAGGTCTAGGACAGATTGAGTCATTGGCCCAGCAGAATCAGCCTCCAGCGTGACCGGAATAATGCCATCTTGAGGGACAATCTTGAGGGTGGGCTTGATGGTAAAGAGCGCGGCTCTATCACTGGGCATGATGAGAGAACCCATGGTTTCGGTGCCGATAGAAAAAGGCGACATTCTGGCGCTGACTGCAAGAGCAGAGCGCCGGAGGAAGAGCCCCTAGGGTTCTATACACTCTATCAGAGACATATTCGACGAATCTTTACACGTCGTACTTACGCTGTGACCACCACTGGTATCGTTGGCATGGGAGAACCCACCCCGAACGTATGCCGACTGAGTTTGTCCTCCCACGGCGGACCATCCCGAGTTCGCAAAATTAGACCTAGAATTATTATGAAATTCCAGTACTCGAGCCCACTTCCGAAGATAGTTAGAGAAAAGTATACCATAACAACAGGGTTCATTACCTGGATCTCGGTATACCTTCGAGGTAGGCACCTCTCGGTGGGTGAAAAAGTCGTCTGGAGTCTTAACACAGGCAACGGCAACAGGACAAACTTCAAGTACATCTTCAGATGGACGTCATTACAACTCCATCTCCATACTGTCATCTGTTCCCCTTGTCTAACTTACAGTCGGGTCAGCTTGAGCCCTTGGGCGCACAGCCCCACCGCGCATTCATCGTATTTCACGAAGGGCCCCATCCAAAAACCGACACTAACCAATCACCGGCCGCGAGGCTGCCACCGTATCGCCCGTATGCCCGCTAATACAGGTAACAACTCCTGGGCGACTTCCCCAGGCCTTCCAGGGTCTTGACCAGTTCTAGAACGATGCTACGAGCCGAGGAATGCTCCTGGTTAGAGCCTCTTCGGACCAAGCGGCGTAACAAGTATATATATATCGCCTTGCCCCGTTGCATCCGAGTGTTTTTGGATATTTTTCGATAAAAGTTCGATTCAACCAGACAGTTCAATAGACACCAACCTCAAAGCCACTACGTCGTTAACTACGTTGCTTCGCATCACATATACACACACACAGCACCATCACCGATACATCGCATAGCCACCATGACAACTCTTGCCAAGATGCAACCCGCAGGGTCTGCCATTCACAGACGCCATTCCCGATTATCAACCACATCGTCTCTCCCCGAATATGAGGTTGGCGACTATGTCCAACTCCAGGCGCTTTCCGCCACCGCCTCGCAGTCCGAGTCGTCCTCGCTGCCCGACTACGACGCCCTCAGCACCTCGCCCTCGACCTCCAGCGCTGCCGCCGCCGCCTCGGCCGTGACGGCCTTCCGCCACACCACCGCCTTCCAGATCGAGACGGCCGGGCACCCGCTCTTCCACCTGCCGCTGCCGCCGCGACCGGTGCCCATCCCCGTGCTGCGCGTCTCCGCCGACGGCGCCCTCGGCGACCTCGCCTACGAGTCGCTCCGCGCCCGACGCGGCTCCGGCAGCTGTACGCTCGTCCGCGGCGGCGACGGCGCCGAGGCGCCCGTCTGCAGCACCAGCTACCGCTTCGGCCCGGGCAAGAACCCCCAGTTGCGCCTGCACGGCCGCCTCGCCGACCCGGCCGAGGTGTACGAGGTGCAGGGCAAGGGCATCGCGACGCGCGCGCAGGCCGTCCGCACCCACCTCGGCACCTTTGAGTGGCGCTACGCCGGCCGCGCGGACCGCAGGGCGCTCGGCGCCAGCAGCCTGCTGCTCCTGGAGCGCGTCACGGTCGTCGCGCTGGCCGGCGGGAAGAAGAAGGAGGAGCGCCGCGTCGTCGTGGGCATGTTCGTGCGGAGTGCGGAGCTGCGTACGCAGGGCACGAGCGGGTGCACGGCGGGCAACGGCGGGCGGCTGCTGCTCAACTTGGCGGAGTGGGCGGATGAAAAGCTCGCGCACGAGCAGATGGAGATTCTCGCCATTGCGAGCTGCATCGTCATGCTCAAGAAGGAGATTGACAGACGTCGCGTACAGCAATGCATGATGATGAGTGGAGGTGGCGGTGGCCCTTGAGGAAGACTGTGTCGAGTGCAGCCGGATAGTAGCGTGTAGTATACCCAATGATTACCTTTGCCTCTTCTGTAAAAGCCCTGCTCCGGAAGTGTTTTCTATTCTTGAGGCTATCGTTGATCGCTGACCCTTGGCGTAGTTGGGGCTTCGCCTGGGAATGTTAAGTGCCTGCCCCATACCTTTGTGAAGCTTAACTTATTGCATGGCTAATGCCCATGAGAGTGGATTTCTGGATCCCGGGCGTTTGCCACTCTTCATCAGTCCGCTCAGTTGGCGCACATAAATCTAGCAGCGCCAATAAATCTAGTACCGTGCGAATGCATGTACAGTTGGTGTTGGTGGTGTTGGTGGTGTTGGTGTTTGTGAAGGTGTCAGTCTGACCCACCTGCGGCTTCGGGAAATCCAGGCACAACTTCCACCAGAGCACGTGACTTAGCTCACTGCCTCAGGCTACAGCTCGGTCGGCCGGCTTCATTTCCAGCCAAAGATTGAATGAACTGGTACAGCAAAGCACCTCACAATCCTCGAATCTCACCCTCATCTCAATCAACACCGCCAATATGACTGCTGCGTGGAAAGCCGCCGGTTTGACGTACGTTTGCCCTCCGAGAATTTTCCCACCATTTTCGATTGGTGCGGCGCCATGATCGACGACCAATGTTTTGCTGCGCGCGCATAGGAGAAGGAACCTCGCGAGACTAATTTTCGACGAACAGCTACAACCGCTACCTGGCCATTGCTGCCCGTGCCATCCGCCGCAGCCTCAACGAGGAGAAGAGAATCGCCGCTGAGCGTCGTGGCGACATGGAACTCCGTTTCGCCAAGTGGGAGGTTCGTTTTGTCAACCCCCGAGGGTGGTGGGGAGAATGTGACGATGATGCTAATGGATAATACCGCAACAGAACGGCAAGATGGGCGACTCCAAGGACCTGGGCAAGGCCAACATTGCTGCCATGGCCGAGCACAGCACTTCTTCGTAAGCGATGTTTTTTTCTCCAATTACGATTGCGACGGTCGGCGATGAGCGGCGAGATTGTCGACACTCAATGCTGGAGGGAGAGGTTCAGAGAATTGCACCTGGACGAGGACGCTGCGAAATACCACCACGTACTTTAGACTCGGTGCACAATCCACCACCACCACAATGTACCATAAACTACGATTGATACAATAAACCAATCCAAAGCATGATGCGGCCGCGAGAATTTAAAGCTCGGCTCTCGTCGGCGATTTTACTTGTTACCTTACCGCTGTCGAGCTGTGAACCGTGGATTGAAAGCACTGCTATCTAGTAAACATAACAATTAAAGACTCGATGTTTCTTTCCTTGCCCTCCAACCCGTACATCCATGAAACCTCGCTGCGACTACTAGTCAGATCACTATTAAAGTTATCTGGTTCAGTCCCCAAGTCCATACGGCACTACTGAGGCAAGGTGCCACAGCCGCTCCGCCTGACTTGCCCACTGTAGTTGCACACGCCACCAGCACCGAGCCTCCATGAAACAACGTGGTCGTCTTGCAAAGGCAGCTTCCTGCTTCCTGTGCGCCAGCCAAGTCTATTGAAGATGCCAACCCAGTTCTATGCCGTCAAGCAATAAGAATTCATAGAATGGCGGACTATGCCGTCACCCCAGAAGGTACCCGACTCTCCCAGCCCAAAGCCTTTCAAGTTCCTCACCCCACCTTATCTTGGTCGTTGATTAACCCGTCGCGTCGGTTGTGCAGAGATGGCCAGGTTATCTCTGGCCCATGATCTGGAGCAGTACCCTCCACCAGATATTCACAGTCCAGGCGTAATTCCAATAGATATTACGGCCAAGTTTGCCGAAGCTGTCAAAAGTATGTCCGGACCTACCAAGACAGCGCCAGTCGGAGCTTTGCGGCTTGCGATGCTGACCGCATGAGCAGCTTTGGAACCGGGCGAGCTGGTCAAAGATGGATTCTTTTCGCTCTTTGAGTCTGTATCGGCTCTCGAGGTATGCTCTGTCATTTCTTTCAACAAACTCGAAAGCCCCAAAGCACTGACGTGGCATGACAGATTATGGACCCGAAAATGGACAGCGGCTGCGTCGCACCGGGAGAAAAGTTTGAAGAAGAATATGACGTCTCGCGGAAGCTGCTTCCGGAAGAGGTTATTGGTATCATAGACGAGCTCATTTGCCATGAAGTAAGTGATGTGGAATCCTCACTGGACTACCCGGGGTCTATGAGAGCTAACTGAGGGATAGATATCATGGCACCTCGGCTACCCATTATCGCAGACACTATTCACCAGCGTCTATGTCGAAGCTCTATCCATGCCTGACCCGGCAAAAATTGAGGAAGCTCAATTTGTGAGATCCGGTAGCTCCGATAGCAACACCGATCCTATGCTTCAGATCCTTCGTGCTTACTGCCTAGGCCTGCTCAAGGGCTGTGGTCATGTAAATGAACATATAAAGCTGGAACACTATTACGAGGCACGTATTATCTCACTCAGCATTACACATGCTATGAGCTAACTCTTCTCCTTTTCACCTCACAGGAAGAAGATTTTGTCACAAACACATACAACCGCACTCTACTTCGACGCCTATCAACACGCAATGTCCACTATGCCCTCCAAGACGCTGAACGGCTACTTGGCCTGTTGAAGGATGAAGTATCTGAAAACATCCTCTCAGGGTTATCGGCCCGTCTGAACTTGAGACGCATCTTTCTAGAGGCTGTAGCGTCGGCAGAGAATACGATGAATTTTGCCAAGGCTCAAGCGCCCTGGATCGAAGCTGCAGATGTACTCCCCGTCATTGGAAAGACGCACGCCTTGGCCAAGGCTGTGGATGATGCCTTCTCGGCGAAGCTGCAGCGAAAGCTTGCTAGTACCATGCCGCCGCGCCCGATCGTGAAGCTCGATTTCAAAGAGGCCTTCGCGCACCTCTCCCGCATGTTTGAAGATGGCCGTGAGGCTGTCAACGTGCTCAAATATACCGATTCGCAGTGTCTCTTGGTAAATACTTCTCACCTACGTCTGCCGCCAACGCTCGCCGTGCTAATGTGTATCAGACCTTTGTTTCAACTTTTCAAACCAAGAAACCTCAGCCACTTGTCTACGTGAGAACTCTCTTACAGACGTTTCTTTTCGACGAGATGAAAATCGTTGGACGCATGAGCATTCGGCAGCTTCTCGACGACGATCTTTCTATCATCACGCTCCCGGCTAGCCCGCTGCTTGCCCGTAGTAACGACGAAATTGAGGTCGTCCAGGACGTTCGCTTTACAATGTCGCAACAGATGGAATATTTCCGCGAACGCGCCGCACAACCATTTCTCGACATTTTGCGCACATTCTGCCAGAACCGGTGCCGCATTCGCCGCACGCTCTGCCATCTGATCCGCGACTGGGAAACCTTGCAGGTAGACGCCGAAGACATTGACCACGTCTTGCAGGTCAAGACCAAGGAGCGGCCGGTCGTCCACCGCCCCTCCATGATGAGCAGCTCAAATCGACCTGTCGAATCCTACACTCTCGCGCTTTCCTCCTGGACATATCTTTATAAGCTACGTCTAATGGAGACGGTTGTTCAGCTGGGATTCGAGTTGGAGGTCTATCAACCAGACGAGCACGCGGCAATGTACTGGTACCTCAACTACCTCGCAAAGAGCCGCCTGCAGCACGCGGAGCGGATCAAGTCGTTTGTCGTTCACCGCGCCGAGCAAGCGCGGGCCTCGCCTGACAAGGATGCCGAGGTGGACAGGCAGATCCAACGTGCACTTGCGTACACGCGGCTCACGCTCCTCGACGCCGCCGTCACCTGGGAGCTTTCCGATGCCCTCGCCTGTCTACACACCATCCTCGCACGCCATAAGCTCGTCCGCGCCCCTGCTCGGCCTTATAGCAACGACGAGCTCCGTCATGACCTCCGCATGAAGCCTTTTGCTGCCATCGGCTTGCCATCACTGCCCATGTTTGCCGAGTTCACGGAGGGGTCTCGCCAACCCGAAACGTCTTCCGAGGATCTTCTCGCGTACGGCGAACGGGCACTGATTGGTGCGAGGCGAGGCTTTGAAGCTCTCAGTAAGCTCTCCGCTGAAGAATCCTTCTCGGTGGGCTCGCATGAACGATGGGTGGCGGGCGTTAAGAATGGCCTCAAGTCGTGCATCGCGACGGGCATTGCCATCACGACGCTGCAGAAGGCACTTGCGGGGTTGGAAGGGAAAGCAGGCGAGGACTCGGATTTGGGCTTAGCGGTTGAGATTCCTACACCGGATAAGACCTACCACCCGTCATGGATTGTACCCAAAGTAACAGTTATATCCAATTGACGGAGAGGCCACAAGTGTGGGTTATGGACATGACCAAGACTCGTCCCATAACAAATAAAATTTTGTATTGAAGCCATTTAGCCACGCATTTAAATACCTGCCATTGGTCTAAAGTGTTCCTGATAAATTGTTATACACGCCGTTTGGGTATTCGTTTCATCGAGGCCTTCTCGTGCTTTCTAACGCACGAGGAGCCTACGTTCTATCACAGCCAAATTTCCACTGCGCAGCCTGGTCGCAGAGTTCACCAGCTCTGCCATCTTGTGGCGACGGACCATGCTTGCAGTCGACTTGGAATTTTCTGTGTTTGCTCGCTTTTACTTGGCTGCAATCTTGCGGCCGCTGCGGAGTCTGACAATCTGGTCAAAGAGGGCGTCCTTGAAGGCGAAGAGGAACGCGGCCGTCAGGACGCTCTGCGTGACCTTGGGGCCGATGCCCTTGTAGAGGCCGGCGTAGCCCTCCTCGCGGACGACGCGGTTGAAGGTCTGGGACATGCCCTCTTTCTTGGAGGAGCCGCTGGCGACGTGCATCTGGCTCTTGACAGTGATGTAGGGGTAGGTGACTGAGGTGGCGAAGAGTTTGCCGAGGGCGCCGAGGAAGAAGGCGATGGTGGGGGTGACCTTGCGGCGACGCTCGACGGCGTTCTTCATCTGCTCGAAGAGGGTGTACTGGAGGATGGGGTTGATGACGAGGACGAGGGCGGGCATGACGCCGGCAAAGAGCGCCTGGGGCCCTTCCTTCTTGAGCAGCGTCATGAGCGTGGCGAGGGTCGAGGGGCGGGCGGGGGCCTTGCGGCGGCCGGCCTCGAGGTCGGCGTCGGCGTCGTGCTTGTACGTGGTGACGCGGGTGTTGACGACCCAGATCGGGTTGGTCAGGACGACGGTGGCGGAGCCGGCGATGGCGCCGGCGATCATAGACTCGATCGTGGTGAGCTTCTTGCTGGCGCGGCCGGCCTTGGCGGCGGCGGTCTCGAAGAAGGAGCGCGTCCACTCATACCAGTAGTAGTAGACGAAGTTGGTGACGCTGATGCCGAACAGCGCCGAGTTGATGCCCGAGTAGAGGCCGGCGACGCCCTCGCGGGCAACGATCTTTTGCACGGCGTCGCTGAACTTGCTGTCGGCCTTTTTCGACTCAACCTGCGCGCGGGTTGATAGAGTGATGAGCGGATATCTGTATTACGATGAACCGGGGTGTGGTTAGCGGCAAGGGAGCAGGGTTTGAAGGCGTGGCGATTTCATTTTGGGGGGGAATGGCTTATTCGTACGTCAGGACCATGGACAGGATGCCACCACCCGCGCCGGCAAGGGCGTGCGTGACATTGTCGTTCTGGGGAGAGGCGGCCATGTTGATATTCAAGATGGTGGTGTTGCAGGGCAGCGGGGATGTCTGGGGAAGGAAGCCGCACGGGGAGCTTGTGTCATCGAGTTCAGGGTGCAGACGAGAAGGGAAGGAGTGGGAGGAGGAGCGCGTGGGGGATATGAAGAATGCTGGCGACTGAATTAAATGAATGAAGAACAATGGCCGGCGCAATGGATCAGTGGTTGAATGTGACGGTCGTTGAGCAGTTGGAAGCTCTCAGCCGAGGTCCCGTGGGTGGATGCCGAAGCAAGCAAGGAGCGCCCGCGCATTCGGCTACTGGTGCAAGCGTACAAGCCAGCACAGGGATAGTCAGCGGCCGCCAGAACCAGCAGAGGGATTAGTAGCGACGTTATAGGCGGCGCTAGAGAACCCCAGTTGTAGGATGGGCCAGGCTCATCTCAACTTGACCAAAGTCATTCATTGGCTTTTCCGTGAGCACCCGAGGACGGTCGGGTACGTACCTGATGATGCTCGCTTGTCCACATGTGACTTGGACAGACCGACTTCGGATCGGTCAATGTATTATCCGGATGCCCCACCGAACGGCTCGTATTCATGCGCACTAATCTAGATCGGGTGCCTAGTAAACAACACCACAGATATCTGACATTTCACGACATCAATATTATCCAATATTGTACGATCGTTGTGCGCCGACTGTACGCGATTTGTACGTGTTTTGTACGTGTTGCTACGTGGATGTACTCGGTATCGCAGGACGCGCACAATACGCGCACAAGCGCTTAGCGAAACCACGCTCCTCTATTTAGTACCCTCGATTTCCGTCCACGGTCCAGCATTCCATGGCTCTCCAGCTCCACAGGTTGACATTCAGCGACAAGGTCAATCCTCTTTTTTTGCCTCTGTCCCCGCAACCTCTGTGGAAATGTCGAAGCGACAAAGAAGAAACACCCCCCTCGGCGACGCTGCGCAACCCGACTCAGCCCAACGGCGCTGGCGCAACGTCGCCAACCCCAGCACCCCGCGCGACGATATCATGTCGTCGCCTGACCCCCTCACCGGCGATGCCTCGCCTGACCGAGTTCTCTCCTCCAATTCGCGGCGCGTCACCCGCAGCCAACGCGCGCAACAGTTCCTGTCACTCGGCGCTACGCCTAGAAGGCTGGCGTGGGAGCTTGACGCCGGAACCGGTCGCAACAGGAGGTCGTCTCGCGGCGGCCTCGTAGTCAGCGTGGAGGAGACGGACGAAGACGGCACGGCGGACGAGGCGACGCGCCGCACTAACGTATCGATGCCCAGCCCCCGCACGGCGTCGGCGGCCACCACGCGCGGCCAAAAACGAGCCGCGGCGACAACGACAACGACGGTGCCGCTCAAGTATTCGATCGAGGACGAGTCTAGTGATGTATTGGGCTCGACGAATGCTACGCCGCGACCGCGGAAAACGCGAATCCGCGTCTCTAATGGGACGCCGATTCCTCAACCAACAGCTGGGAAGCGACGAAGAGATCCTTCCCTCCCGGCGCGAACGACACAGCGCCACCCAGAAACGGTCGAAGATAGCATGGACTCCGATTCCATGGACGACCTTACGCAGCGGTCCCCCACACCAAAGCGGCGCATGCTCTCGCCTAGAAGACGAGCTGCGGAGCCGTCCAGCGAATTGGGCACAGAACCAGCGCCCAGGGCCAGTCCTGCTGCGAGGCGCAACGTGCGCCGCCAACGATATGCCATGGCACCACCTCAGGTGCCTGGGTCAACAGATGTCGGCAATGACGAGGCGCGAATGCCTCAAGTCCCCGCAAGCGAAGACGACTTGCAAAGGGACCCTACGATGACGGTAACGGTAGAGGAAGGCCGGCAAACAACAACAGCTGCGGCTGACGTGGAGCCAGAATCGGATATATGGATAGCAGCGTCGCGAGACGCTACTCCGCAGGCAGAACAGCCAGTCGACAGAACAGCTGCAGAGATGGAGGAGCAAGAGGAGGAGCGACATGAAGTGCGGGCGACATCAGTCGCCATGTCGCAAGAAGACTATGGTTACCTCCCGCCTGCAGCGAGTGATGACTCTTCTGTTACCGACGAGCAACTGGAAGAGCCTACGATCATGAGAGGAAATGATACTATTGCACAAGGCGAAGACTTTAGTATGATTCTCATGGACTCGATTCACTCGCTCCGAGCAAGCACACAAGGAGCCCCCCCTTCATCTCACTATAGCCCCGTTGGTGATGATACGAGCCTCATCATCAACACTACGCTACAGTCTCTTCGCCAGGGCAAAGTGGCCGACCCCGAAGACGAGGGTGACGGCGAGGACGAAGGAGGTGACGACGGCGAGGACGAGGGAGGTGACGGCGAGGACGAAGGAGATGACGACGCCGACACACTGAGCGGCCGGGAATCTGAAAACGAACCGGCCGAAGATGAGACTATCGTTCCCGAGCCCGTGGTTGCTGACTCGCTATCTGGATCTGAGCTTGAAGCTCAGCTAGACAAGACGCAACCACGGGCTGAGGATTCCGATGAGCATGATGAACCGGGCACCTCGGATAGCCGTGGATCTGAAAACGAACCGGTTGAGGAGGAGGCTGCTGCTGCGCCTGAGCAAGTGGTTACTGACGCGGAATCTGTGCCTGGTCTTGCAGGCCAGCCAGACCTGTCGCAGACCGAGCCTGTTGCGCCCGCACCCGAACCGGAATCGGAATCTGGAGGGGACACTGACGGAGGCTTCGAATCGGAGGTCGAGGAGATTGAGCAACACGACGTTGCCCAATCTAGATTAGAAGTCGAGCAAGAGGTCACCACAGTGGTCGAGGCAGCTGTCACGGAAATCGTATCAGTTGAGTCGGTGTCGGAGTCCGAGGTTCAGGCGTCACTGTCAAGGAAGTCGCCTGTTCGCCAGTCGCCGCCCGCATCTCGCAGCGCACGACTGTCGCAATCGCCCAAAAAAGCGACAGGCTCGTCACCGCTCCGCTACCGTGTTTATAAGCGGTACGCTGGGCAATCTGAGCATTCTCCGCGTGCGAGCCGTCGACGATCGGCTTCTCCGCCTCAGACGACGGTTTCGGCGTCCTTTAGCGCCCCCGTACAGGAATCTACAAGAGATTCTCGGATGGACGAGGACTCTTTCTCGAAGATGCCCGAGGCCACTCTCGCCGCCGCAGCACCACAAGCAAACGCGCGGTTGTCTACGGAGTATGAAGAACTCGACGACGAGATGATGGACGAGATAATGGACGAGCTTGAGGATAGTCAAGCAAAAGATGCGGCAACTGCAGAATTTATGCAGTATATGGATGAGGATGAGGATGGGGATGGGGACTTTGAGCTGGAGCCAGAGGGGGAGCAAGAGCAACAGGCTGACGACTACGAGCTGCCTTACCTGAGCCCTGGTACGGGAACAGGAGCAGCGCGTAGAGTGGATGCCTTGCTGGAAGAAGGCGGCGATGATACCCAGGACGAGGAGCAAGCAGCAGATGAGGTAGTAGAAGCGGTGGCAGTAGAACTGCCCACCCTTCCCTCTGACGCCCGCCAGACTCAGTCCGCAGTTCGCCTACCAACGCCAGATGACTCTCCTCCAAGCGCGCCACTCCAACAGGCGGCCGCTCCTGCTCAGCAGCAGCTGTGGACTCACTCGTTCATCGGCTCCCCAGTCCAGGCACACCACTTGCCCGGGCCATCATCGCCCGGACCTAGTGCCCATCCGGTTCCAGTGACTCAACCAGCGGAGGCTGCTGTTCAGAGCAGCGCCTCGTCGGTGGAAGAGACGCCCCGGAACCAGATCTCATCGCCGACTCAGCAGCCCCAGTCTGTGGGCCAGGAGTCTGGGTCGGCGCCGCACGTCCGCCCGGCACTGTCGTCGATTGTTCGCGTCGGCCGCGCTCTTCAGAGCGTCACTTCGGACCCCCCTTCGCCCGAAGCAAGGGATCGCCACTTGGGCAGTCCGTTCCGAAGCTCCGGCAGCAAGGAGCCTCGATCCGGCTCGGGAGAAGCAGAGACTGGCCGCCTCCTCAGCAGAAGTCCGAGCGCGCGGGTTAGCAAAAGCCCGACAGCGCGGATGCTGACGTTTGGAATGCTGAGCCACTCGTCTCTTTCGCCCCAGCGCCGTTCGCCCTTCCGTGATGCCTCGAGAAGCATCAGGTCGCCCAGCCAGCTGCAGGAGGCCAGCACACAGCAGGAGGTTGTGTCGCCGCCACGATCGTCTCTGTTCAGCAAGAGCACGAGTGGCAATGAGCGCCCAGCTGCGAAACTGAGCCCGGTAGAGCTCAGCCAACCGCCAACCTCGGTCTCGCCCCCGCCGCGGTCTCTTTTCAGCAAGAGCACAAGAACGGCGGCGTTGGATGAGGCACAGCCATCCGTGTCCCCACAGCGAAAGTCACCTTTCCGTGAGCGAACCAAAAGCGTCGAACCTCTGCCTTTAGCGGGCTCGTCTTTGCAGGGCGGAGTTCTGCGGGCTCACGAATCGACATCTGGCCGTGTCTCTGCGACCAGCTCGCTCCAGCAGTCACCACCGAGTGGTGACGAAATGAGCTGGATCGCCGACGAGGGCCCGATCAGCCCGAGACTACGCGGCGACAACACTCTGCAAGAGGTTGTGGCTATGGCTGAACGTTCCCCTGTTCCTGAGCAAACACTGGCACAGGAGCGAGCAGCGGAGCTGGAACCAGGTGCAGCACCGGAAACCAGCGATGAAGCGGAATCGAACCTACCGCCGCTTCGCAAAGACGACGATACGGATATTTGGGACATTGAGACGTATCGAGAGCGCAAGAGGAAGGCATCATTTGGCAAAAGGGTCGTCAGAAACAGAAATCGACCTGCGGAGATGCTCAAGAAGTCTACCGCCGCAACGCAGCCGGCGTGGATGCGAACCGGCCTGACACAGCTGTCGAACAGGACCTTCAAGCCTCTGCCGGCCATGCGACGAAGACAGCCTGTGGTAGAAGAGCATGGCGAATCATCGCGCCAACAAGAGCAGCCGCGTCTAGAGGAAGACGCAGAGGAGTACTCTCTGCTTGCCCGAAGAAGGGAGGCAGAGGAGGCACAGGGCCTCACCGAATCTGCCTCCAAAGCGAGCAAATTCGACCTGTCCACGTTCTTCTCGTCGCCGATTGCCGTTCCAGGCATGATAGCGGACAAGTTTTTCCCAGGAAAGGGAAAATCTGTTGAGAGGTCTCTTGCCCCTGCTCCTGCTCCTGCTCCTGTTTCTACTCCTGCGCCTGTCCTTGCTCCTACTCCCTCTCCTGTTCCTGCTCCGGAGCCTCCCACGCTTACTCCCACGCCTACGCCTGCTCGTCAGCGTTCGCCCCCGAGAGCCACACCGCTGAATGCGGGAAGCGAGTATGCTCGGCGCCGAGACGGCCGCATTCATTTCAGAGCCCCGTCCCCGTACAAGTCCTCTGCAGTACCCAGGCCACTGGGGACGCCCAGTGGTTCAGGATTTGGAGTAACGGCCTCGAATCGGGCAGGGGCGCTAGAAGCCAGACGTCTCTTTTCAACGCCTGGCAGGAGCGCCATTCCATCGGGGGACATTGGCGGTCAAGGACAGGAAGCCACTGAAGAGGTTTCCAAGTCACAGAGACCACCTCGATGGGGCTGCAACAGCATAAACAGCAATGACAGCGAATACCGCTCCATGCCGTTTATGAAGCCGTTGCCGCCGAAGGATGCATCGCCGGTGAAGTCGAGCATGCGGCCGCCGACGAAGCCGAAGGTACGAGGCCGAGTCGTGCAGTTTACCGAAAGCGTCATGTCTCCACCAGAGCAGGAACGGGCTCGGCAGGAGCGTCGACAGCGGGAGTACGAGACGGCCTTGTTCGAGCAGGAGCTCTTGAAGCGGCGGGTCATGCGGTTCGATGAGGACGTCAACCGGTACGAGCCCCCGTTGCTGAATGCTCCACAGCAGCAGGTCGTGGCAGGGCAGGATCGCAGCCGCGACCGGAGGAGTCAAAGCTCGTCGGACGTCTCCATGCCAGACGCGCCGCCGCTAGAGGAGGAGGAGGAGGCAGAACAGGTGCCGCTTCCGGAGCTGGTGCCGGAGCTGATGCTGATTCCGGTGCACAACCGTGCTTCGGCTCGCCGCCTCGCCCGCGCGGTCTCCACGTCGCCGCTGTCGACGACAAAGTGGTCGCGCGAGCACTGGTTGTTCCTCGACGACCTTCTGAGGGCTCGTCGCAGCGGGCCGTTCCGGGGCTCCTTCAGGCGCCACTCGGAGGACCTGCTCGGCAAGACGGTCTCAGGCAAAGGCCAGGCGATGGAGCTTGAGCGCTGGCACCTTGACTGCGTGGACGCCTTCAAGGCGGCGGTTGCAGGCTGGGAGGCGAGTGACCTGGCAAGGCGCATCTTTGGGCTCGTCATGGGCGAAGAACAGCGCAGAGAGGCCGGGATGAGGAGGCAGCGAGCTGCCATGCGAAGATGACGCATAGGGGCGCCGCTTGTATTTTTTGTACTTTTTTTTATTGCATTATATATTTTGGATGATGTTATGAACCTGGGCATTTTCTGCGGCGTTCACAAAGGGAGGAATTTTCTTTTGGATAAAATCATTTGGGGGGCATTTTCGTTTACGGCCTGGATAATTGGCCCATTGGAGTTGTTTGTGGTTATTTTGCAGCGTTCTACATTTTCAAGATACCACTTTGCTGTTCTTTTCTGCGCTGATTTAAGGGGGGCAACCTCGTCCGGGATGCTTGTGATTTTCTTAATGTATGCAGATATGCTGATGTAGTGTGACGATGTTATGGTGGGAGAAGACGTGGTTGCTGTTGAAGAATTACCATACTGTTGCATGTGTTGCATAACCTTAAGTAGATTTGCATAAGCTTTGGCATAAAATATCCAGGTTGCCCCGCGCTTACCAGGTACACCCCGCGCCAGCAAAAATTTGCGGATCACGAAGGTACCCCATTTGTTTACGCGGGTCCCAGCTAAATAAAGCAACACCGGAGCTGAGACGCGTCCCACACCGCGTGGGAGTCAACTGTCTTCAAGGTACTGGCAGGTAGGACGACCTATTCTCGAGGCCAACCCCAGGAGGAAATTGACGCAGACGCTCGCTTAAAAGGCCCGAATTCGTTTCTACGATACTTGGGGTCTTTCTTTTTCAGCCACCCCGGATTATCGTGTCTCCAGCCAGGGCTTGGAGGAGCAAGACCTCCCAGCAAACAAAGCGGGCGGGCACTTGTGCTGGTTACATTCGCTCCGCCGCACCAGTTTATCTGAGACCGACCGCCCCCCTCTCCGGACTGGAGAAGCTTTTTTTTTTACTTCTGTTTTTTTTTTTTTAATTATCCGCCCTTCGCTTCTTGCCTAATATTTGTTTCAAACCCGGCGCGCATTCCATCCAGACGAGCGCAAACCGGCTATGGTCCGCCACCGTTGATCCGCCTCCTCCTTCCCGCCCGCCCGCCGCCGCCGCCGTCGTCGTCATGGTCCGAGTCACCGACGACACTGCGCTCGCGACGGAGCAGCTCGTCGCGTACCACGCCTCGGATCCGCTCCTCGGCCACCTGCCCATCGTCGTCCTCTACGGCGCCTCGACGACGGCAAACCACACCCACAACAGCTCGCGCGTCCAGATCCACGTCCTCTCGCCCGCCGGCCTGCGCAGCTTCCCGCGCCTGACCATCTCGCCCAACTCGCCCTTCTACGGCGTCGTCGCCCGCCTGCCCCGCGAGTTCCAGGGCGACGAGGTCTACCGCGCCCTCGCCTTTGGCCTCTTCCGCTGCTTCGCGGAGCTGCCCGAGGGCGTCCGCGCCCACCTCCGCAGCGCATATCCCACCAGGGGCCGGGGGCCGACCGGGGCGGACGCGCCGCTCTTTAGCGAGCAGCATGTCGCCAACGTGGTCGCGACCATGGTCCCGAGCGACAACACGCACGGCGTCGTGTCGGCCATCCAGGACGCCCTCCAGCCGCAGCACGTCAGCAACCTCGACCTCGACCTCATCCTGCCCCCGGGCTCTATTGTCCCGCTTCAGGACGAGGACCTTGAAGATGTGCCCGAGGACGAAGACGACATTCTCGACCCCACGCTTCGACAGTACGCCGGATACACTCCCCTCGTCAAGTTGTTTGGGGAGCCCGTGTTCATCCCGACGAGTCGACTACGCCGCGCACCGTCCAAGCCGACGTCAATAAACAAGAGCAAGACCTTTACCGTGGAGCAAAAGATTGAGCTGCGCATGAAGCTTGCGGAGCTCGTCGATACCGAGGAACGCTACGTCTTGAAGCTCAACGAGCTCGCTCACTCTGTCGTCGACAGGTTTCGCGACGGGGTCCAGCAAAGAGAGGGACAGAGCCTCAATGCGGCCGAGGCTGAACTCGCGCAGCTGTTCCCTGGCGCTGCCGATGAGATCCTCAAGCTCAACTCTACATTCTTGAGAGAACTGCAAAACGTCATGGACGAGACGGAGGAAGAGGCGTTGGTCGACATGGAGGGCAGTAGTGCGCAACTCATGAGTCCTCGCCAGGCTGGCACGGGTCGCCCAAAAGACCCGATTGGAGCGCTAGCCATGGCAAAGGTGTTCCTCGAGTGGTTTCCCAAGTTTTCAGACTGCTATAGAGACTACATTAAGGCGAGCCAGCACTTCCCGACTTCGATGGATGGCTTTCTGGACCCGCAAGCGACGGCCCAGCGAGGTGACCAAGCGACAAAATCCGCATTGATCGAGCCTGTCCAGCGTCTGCCTCGCTACAGCTTGCTGATCGACCAAATCGTCGCTTCGCTGCCAATTACACATCCCGCGCTGCAGTCCATGCTGAAGGCAAGAGACATTATTACGAATATTTGCTCGCTGGACACGGCGGAAACAACCAAACCTCAGCTTGCCAGCCAGCTTCGGAATATTGTGGAGGCTTGGCCCGCAGATCTCGAGCCCAAGGGTCGTCTCATTGGAGCTGCTGATTTTATTGAACTCTCACTTCCATTCGAGGTCTCCCTGTCGGAGAGTGATAACAAAGGAATCCTGCTTCTGTTCGCCGACTGCGTGGCCGTTCTTAAGAAGACCGGCCGCCTCACCGGCAGAGACCTACTACGAGAGATTGGCAAGCCCTCCGCCGCGGAACTGCTCATTTCTATGACGAATGCCGCAGGTGGCTCCGCAGCGTACGAGTTTGCCTTCACCGGCTGGCATGACCTCGCAAGCGTTCGCTTCACCGAGTCTGCTAACGGCAGCTTCGCGTGGATGACATCGACGCAGAACATGAAGGGCGTGCACACGGGTGAACACCGCATCAGCGCAGCGCCAACGGCGAGATGCTTCCTGCTGCAGGAGCTGTACGAAGGCAAGGCGTCCCGGTGGGCAGAGGATGTGACCAGGGCGAGGATTGAAGCGCGCTTCTCGGAGTCTGAAAGAGAAAACCCATCCTGGACGCTGCGTTCTATCCGCATGCCCGATAGCAATCTAGGGCTTCACGCAGCGGTCTTTCAGGAAGGCGCTGATCAGCTTATCGAGGGTCGCCGTGAGCCCGCTGCGGTGCGCGTTGTCATCGATCACGAAAAAGGCACGAAGGGTGCGCCCGTTGGGCACTACGGCGTGGAGATCGTCATAACCGTGGCTACCAATGACATGAGGCGAATATCAATGATTACTGCCGGTCTCCATGGCAAGCAATACGAAGACATCGTCGCCTTGGAAGACCTGATCCCGACGATGTCGCGACGAAGTGAGTGGGAGTTTCCAGTATCTGTTGGGTCGTCTACTAACATTGCACAGTAATTCAACTTCTTAATAGCCAGTTCAACGTCGCCAACATGGATCTCACCGCCGCCATGGTTTCCTACAATAGCAAAATCCTCCGCAGCTTGAACTTTTCCGCACAAACCACCCCAATTCCCCGCGCAGAAAGGACAAGATCATTTCTTTCTGCGTCCCCGGTGAAGCTCTTGTCCAACCTTTGGGGGGGCGGGACTACCGGCAACAATACCGTCAACAGCAACGCTGCCCATGGAGATAGCACAGCATCTGTGGACTCGATAATATCGACTACTACCGTTGCGCGCCAGCCCTCACTCCATCGCAGCAACAGCCACCACTCGATATTGGGATCCATTCGGGGCGAGCGTTCCTTTATCGAAGACACGCCGCCAGACAACCCTATCTTGCGTCTGGAGGAGACATTCACAGCATATGTAGCCGCACTGCAAGAACGCAAAGGGGCGATTAGCGGCAGAACGATGCTGAATCGGTCCTCTGTCGACGAAGTTCTGGTTAACGACGTTTATAATCGCCTCATCGAGAATCCCTATGACTTTGAACTGCCCCTTGAAGTGAGTACGGAAGTCATATTTGTGGCTTTTGAAAACTTCCTGCGCATAGCATGGAAGGAGCAAATGGGCGCGGTCATGTCCAAGCAAGCCATGGTCACTCTGCAAGACCGCGCGAACCGGAGGGCGCTCGGCGACTTCGCAGACTTTGTCCGCTATTTGTTCTCCGATATGGCGCCTCAGAATCGCCGCGCCGTCGCTTCACTCATTAAACTATTATCATATCTTCTCGATGGCTGCAGCGATGACGGTGATAGAGGCGCTTTGACAATTGCTTTTGCTGAGCTTCTCGTCATGGATGGAACGGCGTCTCACTATATTAACCTTCTGGACCGTCTGGTGGAAGACTGTGACCGAATCTTTGGTAGCGTGAGCCCGAATCAGAGCTTTTCCTATGAAGCATCCACGCTAGGGTCAATTCGCTCCGCTACGTTACGCAAAGAAGTCTCGATGACGGGCTCAGTTGCGTCGAATACCTCCTCCTTGCGCAAAAAGTTTGGACTTGAGTCGTTGATGCGACAAAACAAGGACGACAGACCCGAACGGCCATCCGTCTGGAGGAGCCTTAGCAAGCATCGTAACCCAGCGACAGGAGAGCCCTCGAGCATCTCGAGACGAACTATGAGGCATGGCTTGATGGGTGAAGATGGGACCTTGCCTAGACTTCTGCAACGAGGCAACAGCGCCCGGGAGCGACCAACAGTTGCTGGCGCATTTGACGCGCCGAGCAGGCCGACAAGTTCGCACAGAGCAGAGTTTCCTCTCAACACAATCGGCGAGCCTCAGCATGAGAGCGCGACCCCATCCAGATTCAAGCATAAACGCCGAAGCTCGCTCTCTGATCTGAAGAGCCTGATGGAGGCCGCATCTCTAGACGACGAGGGAGATACCACTCAACCTCTTCAGCTTTCCAACCAGACTCCAGGAAAGGCCAATACCCCGGCTGGACCGAGACTGCAGCGAGACATTAGTGGTTGCTCGCAGCAGAAAGAAAACACGAATGCAGCAGGGAGTGTGAGGTCTTTTGATAGTGGGAGGGAACCGAGCAAGATGCCATCACCTGTCAAGTCCGTTGTCAAGCACGCCAAGGCGCTCTCCGTATCGAGCATCCCCATGCTGAAGCCGGTTCAGCTTGGCCCCTTCACAGCCGGCTCTGCTGGTAAATCCTCCGGTAGGCTAACACGTTCGCCCGCACGAATACGACTACAATCGCCGCAACGGCTTCGGGATCGTGTGCAGACAAGCAAGACTGCTGTGTACGAAGCCAGCAAAGCACTTCGCGCCGAGCTACAAAGGACCACCGATCAAGCCTCCCACGGCGACGCATCTGCCAGCAAGGAAAGCCTCGAACCCGTGCATGCCTTGAGCGACAAGCTGAACAGGACGATCCAGGAGCTGCAGGCCAAGTACGCCGCACTGCAGGAGGAGATGGACACGACGCTCAAGGCCACCGAGGTCAAGATGCGCTCCATCGATCAGCAGCACAAGGAGGTCTCGGCGGAGAATGAGCTCATCTACGAAAAGTTCAACGACGAGCTCGGCAAGATTGTCAAGGCGCTGCGCAGCAAGGGCAAGGAGGAAAAGGAAGAGCTGATCGGCAAGATCAAGGAGCATTCGGAGGAGTCGGCCAAGCTGAGGAGGGAGAATGGGCGGCTGAAGCGGGAGAACATCAGTCTGCGCGCGTTATTGAAACAGCCCGACCAAAGTTAGAGTTTTTTTTTCGACTCTCGTTTTCTCCCTGGAGAGAGAGCATGCTATTTCCGCTGAACAAATGATGCATGATGGGCGACGGAGGCGGAAAGGAGAATGAACGCATTTCGAAATGTGGATATGACCAAAGAGATTTGTATATATGTACCATATAACTAGATGGAAAGGACCTAGGACATAGCTGCAGATCATAAACAAGGGCTGTACAAGCAAGTTACACGTGTTGCGCCTTGTCAGTGCCAAGACGCATGAAGACGGCCGGCTTTTGTAGTCGGCCAGAGATGATATTGATGCTAGTGATAATGGTGACAGCAGTATTGCTACCATCAAACTTCAATAGCTCAGATACAAGTGAAGTATAGTCCGTAGTTGTACTCGATTGTCTAAATCTCGTGCATGATCCAGCCTCACTTACTTACAAGGGTGCGCGCTGATTACACCCCCCGTCGACAGGAATGGGTTTCTGTCCACCAGCAGGGGGACACGGCTTCAGCCCTACAGCATGGAGAATCACTCGCGAATCTCTTGTGACTCCTGCGCCTGCGCTGTTTTCTCAAGCCAGCACTCGAAGAATAGCGGCCCCGCGTTCACGGAGCGAACCGGCGTCGTGGTCACGTCTCGGCGTGCTGATACGCTGCTGACTGCGGCTTCTGCCGGGATCCAGGATTGAGGATGCTGTGACCCTTGTCAGTGAACAGGGATCTTAAGGGACGCGAAAAAAAAAGGAAGGAATGAAGGAAAAGGGTTAAAAAGCGTGTCGCAGCCACATACCCCGATTGGTGCGTCTGAATCGTCACGCAGCTCGACGGCCAGCGTAAACGTGCAATTCTCCGGCAGCGCCGGGCTCTTTTCCGCCGCATACGCGATCCTGCGCAGCGCTCCTCTCAGGCCCTCGTTGACATCCGTCCAGTTGACCTCGTCTTCCGCTCCTGCTGTGGCGCCCGCCTGCTGCTCCTCCGCGAGTCCGGCCGCCGAGTCATCCCCGCGCGCCGTCATCGTGCCTGCATCGCCCCAGTCGGCGGGGAACGAGCGCAGGTCAAACACCCAGCGCTCCAGCACGGCCATGGATCGGGGCGCGTGGACGGCGAGCACGACGGCGCGGGCGGTGCCGGCGCGGACCTGGGCGGTGCCGGCGGCGACGGCGTCGGCGACCCAGGCGCAGACGCCCGGGTGGCGCGACTGGTGGACGGGCAGGTTGTAGGCGCGGGCGGCGAGGAAGCTGCGCGCCGGGTAGAGGCCGCGGTGGAAGAGCAGCGAGTGCACGGCGACGGCGAGGAAGCTGCTAAACGAGGCGAGCAGGCGGCCGGCCTGGTCTGCGGGGATGGAGGTCATGTTCACGCAGCGTGGTTCGTCATGGTCGACGGTTTTATCAGGTTGGGATCATGGACGGCGCGGGTAGGATGTAAATGTGCGAGAACTGGCTTGCTGGGGGTGGAAATCGTAGGTTGCAGGCTGTTGTTTGTTGGCACTGGCTCGTGAATGTGCTCCGCCAAGGTTGGTGATGCTAGTGCACGTGCGGGATGTTAGGCACGCACCAACCAGGCTGGTGCAAGTAGCACATTGCAAGTATTGAGGGATCATTCGAGTTGATGAATTTGATTGAGACTCTTAATTACGCAAGATAAATTAAAAGAGCATTGTGACCTGTTCAATTCACACCCAACCATTCGCCGTTGTTGGTAGCGGCACTGACGGGGAGGGGGACTGTTGGTCCAACCAGTCAATGTACAAGTTCAAAAGTCTTCAAGTCGGATTACTTTGTATGACGGTTCTTCGTACGGATGTGCCCTGATTATCACGAAAAGGCATAAATGAGCCCAAATTCTTTTCTCGAAATGCATCGCTACTGGGCAAGATAACTCACTCCTTGAGCGCCGCCACCGCTCGCCGGGCGACGTCCTCGCCAACGCAGAGGGTCTCGACGCGCACCTCGTCAACGTGCTCGAGGGCGCCGACGGAACCGATGTTGGGGTTCGCCGTCGCGCCGGGCCGAAACTGGCCGGTGCCATGCGCCGACCAGCAGCACTCGGTGTAGCTTCCGGGGCCGGGGTAGCGGCCCGCGCCGGCCTTGAAGATGGCGGCCTTGCAGGCCTCCACGGCGGCAGCCGGTGCGTGGAAGACGAAGCTGAAACGAGGTGCCACTGAGGATGCCATTTTTTGCCCTAGTGAATCGAGGATTGATGTTAGGGTGCGATGAAGAATGGAGGTCTGGGATGCTGCAGATGGGCAATGGAGGGAGGGGCAGACGGCCATGTGCCTGATGGCCGTTTGTGCATGAGCGAATGCATGCATATAAGACGCTACCTTGTATTTGACGCGACGCCATCTTCCTGGCTTCATTTTGAAATTTCTACCGCAGTGATGACCAGTCCTAGCATTTAATACTAGTTGACTTTTTAAAGAATAAAAAGAATAGAATCAGAATCAGACCCTCGTCTCGCCAAGCTCCCTTGATGCTCCAGTGTGATATCACGGTCCCCACTGAAGCTTGGTGCCCCTTTCAGACAGGTAGATCACTTTCCACATCCCCCACCAGAAGGCGAGTTTCAGTCAATCGCCACTGCCTTGTCACCCGCCACGAATTGGAAATTCAGGATCCCCGCGACATCAAGAAGACGACTGGAACTTGATGAAGGCAACCCAAACTCCCGTGCAGGCCGCTCGCCAGCCGCCTGCACACGTCCGCGCGCTCACGTTTGTCCTCGACGTGGCCTGCGGCCGACATGCACTGTCGCCGCTGATTCCCGCGGCGCTCTGGCTCGCCGACGCGGTCCTCACCTGCCTGGTGATTTGGAAGGTTCCCTGTGAGCAAAACCCTCTTACGTTTATCGTTGTGGCGCCGAGGAGCAAGGGGGTGTACTAATCTCGCGGCTCGGCGTTTGACAGACACGGAGATCGACTGGGTCGCCTACATGGAGCAGATTCGGCAGTTCGTCCACGGCGAGCGCGACTACACCAAGATCAAGGGCGGCACCGGGCCGCTCGTCTACCCGGCCGCGCACGTCTACACATACACGGGCCTCTACTACCTCACCGGCGAGGGCGAGAACATATTGCTGGCGCAGCAGCTGTTTGCCGTGCTGTACATGGCGACGCTGGGACTGGTGATGCTCTGTTACTGGAAGGCCAAGGTTGGTAGTTCTTTGCCACTTGCAACACTACCGGATGTCGTCCACAACTAACAATAATGCACCGCGCCGCAGGTACCGCCATACATCTTCCCGCTCCTGATCCTCTCGAAACGTCTACACTCCGTCTTCGTCCTGCGCTGCTTCAACGACTGCTTCGCCGCCTTCTTCCTGTGGCTGACCGTCTACGCCTTCCAGCGGCGGATGTGGGCGCTCGGCGCGCTGGCCTACACCTGGGGCCTGGGCATCAAGATGTCGCTGCTGCTCGCGCTGCCCGCCGTCGGCGCCGTGCTGCTGCACGCGCGCGGCTTCTCGGGCGCACTGTCGCTCGCCTGGCTCATCACCCAGGTTCAGGTCGTCATCGCGCTGCCCTTCGCCGCCGCCAACACGTCCGGCTACCTCGCGCGCGCCTTTGAGCTCTCGCGGCAGTTCAAGTTTGAGTGGACCGTCAACTGGCGCATGCTCGGCGAGGAGACCTTCCTGAGCCGCGGCTTCGCGCTGCTGCTGCTCGGCCTGCACGCCGCGACGCTGGCCGCCTTCCTGGCGACGCGCTGGATGCGCCCCGCGCGGCGGTCGCTGCTCGAGATGGCGCCGGCGTGGCTGCGCTTCCGCTCGGCGCTGACGCCGGACCAGGAGATTCGCGTGTCGCGCCGCGTGACGCCCGAGTTCGTCACGACGGCGATGCTGTCGGCGACGCTGGTCGGGCTGCTGTTCGCGCGGTCGCTGCACTACCAGTTCTACGCGTACCTGGCGTGGTCGACGCCGTACCTGCTCTGGCGCGGCCTTCCCAACGCCGCGCTGGTGTACCCGCTGTGGCTGCTGCAGGAGTGGGCGTGGAACGTGTTTCCCAGCACGAGCGAGTCTTCGACGGCCGTGGTGGCCGTCATGGCGACGACGGTCCTGGCGGTGTACTTTGGCACGCGCAACGATGGGCTCGAGGTCAAGCCGGCGGTGAAGAAGCGATAAAGCCGAGTTTGAGTCTGACGTGTACGATAGTTCAACAAAAATTCATAGAGGACGGGAAACGGTGGTTGGTATATTATTATCCAATGCAAATATTCATAAGTCGTCATGGCTGTGAGCCGCGGGATATCTATTCGTCTTCCGAGTCGCTGGGCGGCATCTTGCCTACCGTCGATTCTTGGTCGTCCTCGTCGTCGTAAACTGCCATGGCAAACTCTTTCGGCCTACGCAGCGTACATGCATTAGCCCATCGCATCCCCCCCCCCCCCCCAACCC